CAAGGCGGGTGGATCACGAGGTCAAGAGATCGAGACCATCCTAGTCAACAAGGTGAAACCCCATCTCTACTAAAAATAAAAAAATTAGCTGGGCATGGTGGTGCGCGCCTGTAGTCCCAGCTACTCGGGAGGCTGAGGCAGAATTGCTTAAACCCAGAAGGCGGAGGTTGCAGTGAGCCGAGATCATGCCATTGCACCTAGTCTGGGTAACAACAGTGAAACTCCGTCTCAAAAAGAGAAAAAAGAAAAAAAGACATCTAAACATTTAAGTTTCTTTTTTGAGACAGGATCTCCCTGTCACCCAGGCTACAGCGCAGTGACGTGATGTAGGTTCACTGCAGCCTCAGCCTCGCAGGATCAAGTGATCTTCTTGCCTTAGCCTCCTGAGTAGCTGGGACTATAGATATATGTCATCACACCTGGCTAATTTTTAAAAATTAGCTCTTAGGCTCAAGCAATCCTCCTGCCTCAGGCTCCCAAAGTGCTGGGATTACAGGCGTGGGTCCCCACACCCGGCCAGCATTCATTCATTTATTCATTCATTCATTTTATTTATTGAGACAGAGTCTTGCTCTGTCACCCAGGCTGGAGTGCAGTGGTGTGATTTTGGTTCACTGCAACCTTGGCCTCCTGGGTTCAAGCAATTTTCATGCCTCAGTCTCCCAAGAGGCTGGGATTGGTGGCTAATTTTTGTGTTTTTAGCAGAGACGGGATTTCACAATGTTGGCCAGGCTGGTCTCGAACTCCTGGCCTCAAGCAGTCTACTCGCCTTGCCTCGGTCTACCAAAGTGCTGGCATCATAGGTGTGAGCCACCGCACCCATCCCTGGCCAACATTTAAATAAAAACAAATTAAAAAAAGAAAACAAAACAAACAAAAAAAAAGAAAGCAAATTTAAAATCTCACTGGTCACCTTTGAAGGTTACAAGGGCAACCAAGTCATAATTCTGAAAGCTGGTAAACAAAGGAAAAGGACTATTTATCCTACCTTTCCTGTACTATTTCAAGGGAACTAAACAGTTAATGTAAAAAAGTACTCTTTAGAATTCCAACTAATAAATGGAGGAGGAATGAAAGAATTAGAAAATTACCATTTTGCAACCCTTTTTTATTTTTTTGATTTTATTTGTTTATTTATTTATTTTTTTTAAGATGGGGTTTCACCATGATGACCAGGCTGGTCTTGAACTCCTGACCTCAGGTGATCCACCCACCTCGGCCTCCCAAAGTGCTAGGATTACAGGTGTGAGCCACTGCGCCCGGCTTTTGCAACCCTTAACTAATGTAGGCAATGATCATCAACAGTTGCTAAAACCAATTTGTGAAAGGCTAACAGAGAACTTTATAAAAATGGCTGGAGCTAATCCTAGCTGAACTTAGTGATCATGGTTGTTTTTAACTGTATGTTATATAAATTATTAAATATACACAAAAACTCAGGGGAAAAACATAATGAAACTCCAGGTACCTATTATTCAGCTTCAATAATTATCAACTCATGCTCAACACTCTGCCAATGATATCCCCCAACTCCTTTCTATACTCAATTATTTTATTTTATTTTTCTTAAAGATAGAGACGGGGTGGGGGGCCAGGCGTGGTGGCTCACACCTGTAATCCCAACACTTTGGGAGGCTGAGGCAGGCGGATCACAAGGTCAGGAGATAGAGACCATCCTGGCCAACTTGGTGAAACCCTGTCTCCACTAAAAATGCAAAACTTAGCTGGGCATGGTGACGCACACAACTACTCAGGATGCTAAGGCAGGAGAATCACTTGAACCCAGGAGATGGAAGTTGCAGTGAGTCAAGATCATGCCACTGCACTCCAGTCTGATGACAGAGCGAGACTCCATCTCAAAAAAAAAAAAAAAAAAAAAAAAAAAAAAAAAGATAAAGACAGAGTCTGTTATGTTGTCCAGGCTGGTCTTGAACTCCCAGGCTCAAACAATCCTTCTGCCTCAGCCTCCCAAAGTGCTAGGATTACAGGCATGATCACTTATTTTAAAACAAACCCTAAACACATCATTTCATCCATAAATACTTCAGTGTGTATCTCTCAAACATAGTTTCCAAACCTCAGAACTACTGACATTTTGGGTCAGGTAATCCGTTCGTTGCTGTAGGGGTTGTTCCACGAACTGTAAGAAGTTTAGCAGCATCTCTGGTGTCTACCCACTAGATGTTAGTAGAAACCCCCCTACCCCCAGTTATGACAAGTAGGCGTGACAAGAGTATCTCCAGACATCGTCATATGTCTCCTGGGGGAACAAAGTATCTACCCTCTCAATGAGAACCACTCCTATAAAAGATAAAGACTTAAGGAAAATAGTAATGCCACTATTACACTTAAAAATATTAACAATTCCCTGACATCATAAAATACCTGGTCGGTGTTCAAATTCCTCTGTTTTATACATTTTCTTTTACAGGTTTTTCAAAGAAGGTTCTAAATAAGGTGCACACATTGCAGTGAGCTGATATGTCTCTTAAGTCTCATTTACTCTATAAGGTCCCCCTCCCTTTCTTATCTACACAATGTATTCAAGTGAGGACCACACATTTCATTTGGTTGATTTGTCTGCCACAGTTCCCCCTCTCCATTTTTTTCTCCCCATTTATTTACAAAAGACATCAGATTTTCTGTTCTTTATAATTTCCCAGTTTGGATTTGGATAACTGCATCCCTGTGCTTTTTTTTTTTTTTTTTTTTTTTTGAGACAGAGTTTCATTCATCACCAAGGCTAGAGGGCAACGGCATGATCTCGGCTCACTGCAACCTCCACCTCCTAGGTTCAAGCGATTCTCTTGCCTCAGACTTCTGATTAGCTGGGATTACAGGTGTGCGCCACCACACCCTGGCTAATTTTGTATTTTTAGTAGAGACGAGGCTTCACCATGTTGGCCAGGCTAGTCTCAAACTCCTGACCTCAGGTGATCCACCCACCTTGGCCTCCCAAAGTGCTGGGATTATAGGCGTGAGCCACCATGACTGGCCCTCCTGTGATTTTTTAACATTCCTTTGGCACCAGTGTTTCTGAAAGTTGATAAATATGGAAGCTTGATCAGATCCACATTTTTTTCTGGCAAGAATACTTCACAGGTAATGTTGAACACCGGTCAATTTTAGTATTACAAAGAAAGTGAGGACTGACATCTGGTGTCTTCTGATGTGATGCAGAAGGAAGTTCACAAGTACACAACACCACCTATGATATACTCTTGCCCCAAAAAAGAACTTGAATCCAATCAAACCCTAGATTTACTTACCCATTTATAGGAAATGCAAGGAATTGAAAAACATGTTCAGTAACATTATGGAGACATAATCAGCCAAATCCAGAATGCAGACAATTCTACAGTACCAATGACCCAGTTTCTTCCATAAATAAGAAGGAAAAAAAAAATGAAGAGCAAATGTTATAGACTAGCAGAGACCAATTTAACATATGGACCTTACTGAAGTATTGGTGTAAACACATAAACTGCAAAAAAAAATTCAAAAAAATGTTATGGGACTTTGATGGAAATCCAAATATTTATTGATTAGATAATATTGTGCAGTTACTGTTAAATATTTTCAGGCATAGTATTGTGGTTATGTTTTCTTAAGAGTTCTCATATTCTACAGATTCATGTTGAGGTAATTATAGACAGAGTAATGTCTAGTTTTCTTTAAAATAGTCCAATGGGGAGGGGGGTACGAAAAACAAGATTGTTTAACTGTCGAAGCTGAGTGCCTGAGGTTCATTATTATCATTCTCTTTACTTCCATATGCTTCAAACTTTCCATAAGTTCAAAAAATCAAATCCTCCTGAATATAATGACGATTGAAATGCATCATAAACTATTTAGGAGGCTCCTGCAGTTGGCTATGTGAGATGAAAGTGGCCTGCACTAGAGACAGTGGAAAAAAAAAACGATTCAATAGATATTTAGCGCCGGGCACAGTGGCTCCCACCTGTAATCCCAGCACTTTGGGGAGCAGAGGTGGGCGGATCACCTGAGGTCAGCAGTTCAAGACCAGTCTGACCAACATGGTGAAACCCCATCTCTACTAAAAATACAGAACCCTGGCCAGGTATGGTGGCACACCCCTGTGGTCCCAGCTACTCAGGAGGCTGAGGCAGGAGAATTGCTTTAACCCAGGAGGCGGAGGGTGCAGTGAGCTGAGATCATGCAACTGCACTCCAGCCTAGGCAACAAGAGTGAAACTCGGTCTCAAAAAAAAAAAAAAAACAAACCCAAAACCCTGTCTCTACTAAAAATTAGCTGGCTGTGGTGGCAGGCGCCTGTAATCTCAGCTACTTGGGAGGCTGAGGCAGGAGAATCGCTTGAACCCGGGAGGCAGAGGTTGCAGCAGTGAGCTGAGATCACACCATTGCACTCCAGCCCGGGCAACGGGTAAAACTCCACCTCAAAAAAATATATATATATATTTAGGAGGATAATTAATTGACTATGTAAAGTGAAAGAGGGAGAAGTCAAGGATGAGGCTCAAATTTCTGGCTGAGCATGTGAGTGGCACTGAGGAGATGGGTAAATTTGGGAAGGCTAGGGTTTGAGGTACCTATGGGACCTAGCACAGAGATGGCAGTGGAAGCCATGGAAGTGAAGTGATACCCAGGATGAGAGAATGCCAAGAGAGGAGGAAAGAGCCCTGAGGAACACCTGAGGCCAATCTGTTCACTGTAGAGAAGTCTCTTCTCTGTGTGTATCTAGGCTTAACTTAGTCATATACACACCTAGAAGGGAAGACTGATAGCAGGCAAGGGCAGGAGCAACCTGGGGTGTCAGGTGGAAAATGTGCATATGCCTATTTATATATACGAGGGGGAGACCCTACTTCACAACCCAATCCCCCATTCCTTGACAGCTTTCCCCTTTCCAGCCATGGTCTCCACAGAGCCCCCAGATGGGCTGACCCCCTCTCTGGACAGCTAGGAAGATGGTCCCACTCCCACCCCAACCCCCACCCCACCCCTGTGGTTGATCCTCACCTTCAGATCCTCACACAGATCACCATAGTCAATCTCAATGAGGGCCTCTCGTGCGTAGATACTGGAAATTCTCTGGGAACCACTCACTGAGTCCTCCCCCTGAGAGCTACCCTGCAATGGCAAGGGAGAGTCAAGTGGAGCAGACTGGCCATGAGAGTGTCCCTCTATAGGCAGCTCCTTTGCAGCCTTCATTCTTTGAGAAAGCACTTTGCTAGAAAGCACTATGGCAGAAGGAACAGAGGCTTTGCAGGCAGAATGACTCAAGTTTAAAATTGAGCTCTATGGCCAGACACAGTGGCTCATGCCTATAATCCCAACACTTTGGGAGGCCAAGGCAAGTGAATCACTTGAGGTCAGGAATTTGAGACCAGCCTGGCCAATGTGGTGAAACCCTCTCCCTACTAAAAATACAAAAATTAGCCAGGCGTGGTGGTGTGTGCCTGTAATCCCAGCTACTTGGGAGACTGAGGCATGAGAATCACTCGAACCTGGGAGCTGGAGGCTGCAGTGAGCCAAGATCACGCCACACCGCACTCCAGCCCGGGTGACAAAGCGAGACTCTGCATCAACAACAACAACAACAAAAATTGAAGTCTACCGCTTATTAACATTGTGGTCCTGGGCAAGTCACATTCTCAGATCCTGAGTTTCTTCACCTGTAACATGGGGATAATGCCTTGTCTGGCAGGTCTATGGTTAGGATTAGGGGTAATTATGTCATGTTACTTGATGCCCAGAACATTTCTGGTATTCAAAATATTTTACTGAATTAAACCAAAATGCCATTTGGAAAGTGAGGAGAAAGACACATGGGACTGAGATACATGACCAGGTCTAAGTTATCAATATAGGCAAACCTCTTCTCAGTTAACATTTCCCTCCCCCTTGCTACCAATCTTTACTTCCACTACTCCTCTTTGGCTAGTATCTCTGTCTTTCCTATAACTAAACTTCCTCACCTCTCCATTGCTGATGTCCCTCACCCAACCCTCTACTGGCCAACCTCCCTCACTGCAGCTATCATCCTCAGGTCCCCCAGCTTCCTGTCTTCCTTTGCTCTTGGCTAATGTCACTCAATTCCCAGTCCTACCAATTTCCATCACCTGCTAGAGCTAATATAGCTCAGGTCCCTAAGGTTAATGAATTACTTCATTCTTTCCTGGCTCAACTCTCTCACCACCCACTCACTGGCTTGCAGCTCTACTCCCAATTCAACTTCTCTCTCAACCAAAGCTATTATTACCTTTCGCCTCACCTGCCTTCACCACTGCATCTTGCCTCATCTCTCCTGCATTCCTTTTCATGTCCTTTCACCATTTGCCCACTATCCTTCTGTCTCTCACTGCTCTTCCTGGTCACTTTCACTCCCCACCCCTGGTTAATTATGTTCATAGCCCACTCCCACCACCAGCCATAATACTCACCTCTTCCTGACTAATATCATCCATGGTGCCTTTTGACAGTGGCAACTTAATGTCCTGCATCTTACAGGCCTGTAGCAAGTTGTGACGGTCACTGCGCTTCTGTTCAAGCTTGGTCTCAATGGCTGTCACCTCCTTCTGTAAATGGGTCATTTCCCTAAAAAAGGTCCAGGGGCTAGGTGAGACCCAAATCTAGCAGGCTGCCTGCTCTATCTACGTCCTCCCACCCCAGGCCTGAATCCACTCACTTGTTGGCGCCCCCAAGTTTCTTACGAATCTCCTCCATCTCATGATTCTTGTCATTTACTTCTGACTTCTTGGCCAGATGCTGATTCTTCAGGTCTTGTAGCTGAGCCATGGTCTCATCTATAATCTTCATGTGTCTCTGTTCCTCCTGGTCCCAGCAGTGGGAACAGGACAATAGGTGAGGACTTTCCCAATCTTACCCTGGGATCTTCTCCTGCTCCCACCCTTCCTACTAGGCAGTTTACTGGAGTCACTCATCAATGAGCTCTGCTTTCACACTCCCATCACCCCTCTTATCTTTTTTAAATTTGGTTGCCCTCTCTCACACATCCCAATTTTACAAGTTACCTAGTGTATATAGAAAAGTTAAGAGTATAGAGAAAGTATTTAGGGGGAATCACTCATAATCTCATCAGCTAGATAATCAATTAACATTCTAGCACATTTCCTCTCAGCATTATTTACAGACAACTTTACATAGTTGAGACTAGATTGTAATTAAAACTCTGTATTCTGACTTGATATTTGAGTATTTTTTCTACATCAAAACTTTGTCAAGTGCAGTACAGCAGCATTTGTTATTTTTTAAAAAACCCACACAAACAATACTGTGTATTTTCTATGAATACACATATGTAAATGTACAAGTATTTAAGTAAATCCTTAAAGGGTCTGGAAGAATCACCTCTGGCAAGAGGTAGGGGACTAGGATGGAGAACAGTCAGCCAAAGGGGACTGTAGCCTTATGTATAATGTTCTGATTTTTAAAAAGGAAAATTTTTGTTTTTATTTTGATCTTAAGTCATGTGAAGGGGGCCCGGTGGGGTGTCTCACACTTGTGATTCCAGCACTTTGGGAAGCCAAGGTGAGCAGATCGCTTGAGCCTCGGAGTTCGAGACCAGCCTGGGCTACACGGCAAAACCCTGTCTCTACAAAAAATACAAAAATTAGCTGGGTGTGGTGGCACATGCTTGTGGTCCCAGCTACTTGGGAGGCTGAGGTGGGAGCATCACCTGAGCACAGGAGGCAGAGGCTACAGTGAGCTGAGATCGTGCCACTGCACTCCAGACTGGGTGACAGAGCGAGACCCTGTCTCAAAAAAAAAAGAAAGAAAGAAAATCACATAAAGGGGACATATCTGTAACTTACTCCCAAATGTCTCATTAAAAATAATAAGCATATATATATATATATATATATATATAGAGAGAGAGAGAGAGAGAGAGAGAGAAAGAATGCAAAAGATAATGCAGATCGATGAATCTTGGTGATGGGTAGATAGGAGTTCTTTGCACTATTTCTTGTAATTTTTTGCAAAGTTGAAAATTATTTCAAAAGTAAAAAAATTACTTAATATCCCAACCATCTAGATATCTAACCTGTCTTGCCTCAGGATTTTACTGCCCAAACTACAACTGCATTTAAGATTTCAGACACCAGGCCAGATGCAGTGGCTCATGCTTATAAGCCCAGCACTTTGGGAGACCGAGGCGAGCAGATCACTTGAGGCCAGGAGTTCCAGGCCAGCCTGGCAAACATCATGAAACCCCATCTCTACTAAAAATACAAATAATTAGCCAGGTGTGGTGATGAGCGCCTGTAATCCCAGCTACTCAGGAGGCAGAGACAGGAGAATCACTTGAACCCAGAGGTTGCAGTAAGCCGAGATTGTGCCGTTGCATTCCAGCCTGAGCAACAAGAGCGAAACTGCATCTCAAAAAAGAAAAGATTTCAGACACCAAAGAGGACTACTTTAATCATCAGGGGTTAATGAAGAAAACACACAAACAAGCAACAAACATAAGCAGACACAAGTGAAACAATAAATTCAAACCAAGAGAAGACCAAATCACCTCAGGAGGGAATGCTGTAAGGCACAAAGGCTTCATAGTAGTTTAAAGAGAAAGGGTGTGAGAAAATCGAGTCATCACACAATACATGGTGGCACAGGCATGCTAAACTCAAAAGAACTGAGCTGTAAGTCAGTAGCATAGTCACACTGTAAAGTGACTAGATTTCAGCAAAACATCATTATTTGTCACACTGAATTTACATGGTTAATCTAAATTTTACTCATTTTGTTAGTATTTAATTTTAAAGTTTGTCTTAGCATTTGGTTAAGTGTTTTTTTTTTTTAAGTGTTCTAAGTATATATATATTTGCATATACTTAAGTAAATTACAGATTTAAGACAACACTGGCAATCTTAGGGAATATTTTTCCTTTAAAAAGGGCCTGTGTATTACTAAAGTTTGCGGACCACTACACTACATAAATAATTTTACGAGTGTAGCATGATTTGCTAAATTCCCACTTTCCAAGGGACACTGAGTAGTTTCCAATTTGGAACTATAAATGCTTGTAATAAACATCAAAGTGTTTGCATAAAGCTTAGCCAGAATTTTGCATAATCTCCTCAGGTATTACTGAGTTAATAGGGTATAAATGCATTCTGAAGCTTCTTGAAGGATGGTGCCACATTACATAAGAATACTGGTCTCCTGGCCGGGCGCGGTGGCTCACGCCTGTAATCCCAGCACTTTGGGAGGCCGAGGCGGGTGGATCACGAGGTCAAGAGATAGAGACCATCCTGGTCAACATGGTGAAACCCTGTCTCTACTAAAAATACAAAAAAATTAGCTGGGCATGGTGGCGCATGCCTGTAATCCCAGCTACTCAGGAGGCTTAGGCAGGACAATTGCCTAAACCCAGGAGGCGGAGGTTGCGGTGAGCCCAGATCGTGCCATTGCACTCCAGCCTGGGTAACAACAGCGAAACTCCGTCTCAAAAAAAAAAAAAAAAAAAGAATACTGGTCTCTTATACCATGGCTGGTATTAAGCATTGTCCTTTGTTTTCACATTTTCTGTGATGTGACAGGAAATAAACTGCATCTGACTATTGCTTTAATTTGCATTTCTTTAGTAACACTAAATTATCTGTATGTGTTTAGAGACTATTTGAATGTCTTCTTGAACTGTTTGTGACACTTGTCCATTTTTCCCGTTTAGGTCTTGCTGTTTCTCTTACTGATTTAAATGAGAAATTTCTAAGTTGTAGACATTATCCCTCTGTCATATTTCTTCCCATTTTTCCTCCCAGTTATTACTCTGTCTTTTAATTCCTTCCTTACCTTTTTGAGCTTTTCTATCTCATTTTCATCCTTTTTCACTGTCTGCTCCCACATGTGTACTTTATCCTGATCCTCCTTCAGTTGGTTCTTTTCAAAATCCAACTGAATACCCAAGCGAGTCTTCTGATTCTCAAACTCCAAACTGTGTATAAAGGTAGGGGGAGAATCACTCATAATCTCATCAGCCAGAGATAACCAATGTATAAAATCCAACTGTGGAAAGAAAGGGAAACCAGACCCAGGGCTTGGGGACACAGTTACTGATTTTCAGTCGCAACTTGCTTCATCCATCCATATGAACATAAAAGGGTCCTCTGAAGCTGAGTTCCTCCGCCTAGCCCTGTGGACATGGCACAAGGCAGGGAAGATTTGGCCAAACCTTATTTATCCCCACTTAAAACACTGGAGACCCCAGCATCCTCCACGTTCCTACAAGGAGGCATAAAAGAGTCCATCTGAATCCACCAGCTATGGTAATTGCTATTTATTAAGCTTCTGTGTACTTTACATACATTATCTCTAATCCTCTAATCAACAGCTCTGCAAGTAGGCATTATTATCCCAATTTTACAAATGAGGAAACTTAGGCCAAGAGGTAAAGGACCTTGCCCAAGGCCACACAGCTAGTAAATGGCACACATAAGACTGAAACCCAGATTTAACACCAAAATCTGGGCTCTTTCTAGTATACCACCATTGCAATATAATGTAGTGGATTAAGAAGACTGGTATCTCAACTCTGCCACTTACTAGTAGTGTGATTCAGTCAAGTTGGTTATACTCTCCAGGCCTCAGTTTCCCCATTGGGAAAATGGACATAATAATAGTACTTACCTTAGGGTTATTGGGAGATTTTTAAATGAGTTAATACGTATAAAGTCCTTAGAATCACACCAGGTCCAAGATAACTACTCAATCAATTTTAGTTACCATTATCACCAGGTATATTGACTGAACTCAGCTCACTTTTGTCCAAGGGCTTCAAGTACAACATCCCAACCTCTGCCCCAAGGTCCCAGAACCTCTTAAAGGGCAGAACTTGGATAGTACAAAAACATGGAGAAAATACTACATTCCTGCTATTGTCCTCCTCTCCATCTCTTCAGAAACTCAGAGTATGCAACCAGTATACACAGGTACTGGCAGGCCAGGTAGGACTAACTTCCAACTGCCCTCTCCAGCTTCCAATATGGTATGACAGATGCTGCCAGATGTCATGCTAGCAGCTTAAACCTATTAGCCACCATAATCCAAATAAAAATGTAACTAACTCTATAATTTTGAGCTATGCAACTTTATGTCCAGTCTCCTAAGTATGACTCATAAAGGCCTCTGTGATCTGGTCCCTGCTGACCTCTTCATCACTCCCGTCTTCTTCCTGACCCTGCTTTTATGCTCCAGACATTCAAAACTACTTAGCATCCAGAACAAGGCATGCTCTCACACCTCCAAGCATGCTGTTCTCTCTGCCTGGAATTCCCTTTTTCTGTGCTGCCTGGCTGGCTAAATCCTACTCACTCTTCAGGTCTCCAGTCATCATTCCCTGTTTTGTAAAACCTTTCCTGATGGTTCTGAACAGGTTCCTAGTTTCTATTACACTTTGCTGGGTTCCTCCCTTTTTAGACTTCTGATGCAGAGGCGAGTTAATCATATCCCACAGTTCATAAAACACGTATCATCACTGCCTGGGCAAGACCCTTCCCTTGTCCCCTTTGTTTCAATACCCAATTTCCATTCATATTACCTTTCCTACTGTGAACATGCACCACAAAGTGACATACACACACGCAATCCTTAAAAATGCATATCCTTGGCCGGGCACGGTGGCTCAAGCCTCTAATCCCAGCACTTTGGGAGGCCGAGGCGGGTGGATCACGAGGTCAAGAGATCAAGACCATCCTGGTCAACATGGTGAAACCCCGTCTCTACTAAAAATACAAAAAATTAGCTGGGCATGGTGGTGCATGCCTGTAATCCCAGCTACTCAGGAGGCTGAGGCAAGAGAATTGCCTGAACCCAGGAGGCGGAGGTTGCGGTGAGCTGAGATCGCACCATTGCACTCCAACCATTGCACAAGTGCAAAACTCCGTCTCAGGGGAAAAAAAAAAAGTGCATATCCTCGTAAAATGCCATAGTTCTAAACTTTACACAAACCTACTGAGTTATAAATTTTATTCTTTTTTCCAGTCAATACCAGCTTTATAAGTTAATGATTGCTGCCCATAAATCTAGTTCTTGCTGTGAATTCCTACACAGTATTCCAGTTTATATATTCATTTGACTTATGCTTTCCCCAGTAGTGGCCATCTACACTGCCACCAATGTCCCACTACTACAAGTTATGCCAAGATGAACAACACTGAATGTGTGTCTCTTTGAGACCCTATGACAAGACTCTCTCTGGGATATACACCCATAGGGCATATATATATATATTCACATACTACATAGGACATCTACAGATTTATTTCCACCAAACACTGTTAGACTTTTAAATTTGCATTTCTCTGATTAAGAGGTTAGACCTCAATTCCTACAGTTGTTAGCCACTTGAACTTCTCTTTCCATGAAAGGCTATCTATAGTCCTTGCCACTTTTCTTACTTTTTTCATTGGATTAGGTATCATAAGTACTTTGCCACATTTCTAATGGGTTTCTTGTCATTGCTTTTTTATTTTTCCTCTTGTTGATTTGCAGTTCCTTGAAAATTTCTTCAGTATTTTGTATCTACCTTAATTACACCATCAATCACACTGTCCTGAAATTGATGTTTCCCCAGTACTCTATAGTTTCCTGAGTAAAGGAACAGCATCTGATTCAACTCTGTGTCCTTGAGACTGGCTTGGAGTAGGACAGCAATGAGTATTTACTATATGGGCAAAGGACTTTAGCTAACTGAAGCCCAGGGTACAAGGGGTGACCTCCTTCAGCAGAGACTGTGTTATGTTCATCTGTCTTACCTCTATCTCCCTTGTCCCCCTTCTAATACCTAGCACAAGACAACCTGGCACAAGGTAGGTACTCAACAAAGGTTTGTTGAATGAATGAATCGACTAAAGTGAGGAAAAAAAGAGATTATTTTCTTCTGGCTATTCTTTCAACCAAGAATTTCATCCCCCACCTCCCTCCACCTCACATTGCCCATTATAATGACAACAAAAACTAGTATTTCTTGCTCTTAGTAGATGCTACGTAAGATGCTAAATACCTTTTAAAAAGGTTAAAAAAAAATAAAAAGGCCGGGCACTATGGCTCACCCTGCAATCCTAGCACTTTGGGAGGCTGAGGTAGGAGGATCACTTGAGCCCAGGAATTCAAGACCAGACTGGACAACATGGTAAAACCCCATCTCTGCAACAACAACAAAAAAAAAAAAGAAAAAGAAAAAAAAGAAAAATTAGCTGGGTGTGGTGGCAAGCATCTGTAGCCCCAGCTACTGAGGAGGCTGAGGTGGGAGGATCACTTGTGCCTGGGAAGGTCAAGGTTGCCAATGCACGCCAGTCTTGGCAACAGAGTGAGACCGTCTTTAAAAAAAAAAAAAAAAAGCTTTGCGCAGTGGCAGTATCATAGCCAATGAGGTTTATCCAACGCAGGATTATTGCTAACTGAAAACTTTTCCCAACACCCTGCAATGACGACTTGAAATACAGTTGGCATTGGCAATTTTTGGCAGTCTCTACGGGGACTGGAAAAAAAAAAAAAAAAGATTATTTCACCTGATACTCCCAACAATGCCACGAGATAGGTATCATTATACCATTCTGCAGATACTGCAGCTTACAGAAGTCAAGTCACTGCCAAAGATAATGAGCTGTGAAGCTAGGGTTGGAATCCAGGAATCCAGGAAATAAAGTTTAGAGCTGGCACTTTTTTTTTTTTTTTTTTTTTTTGCCATTCAGAGTCAACTTTTATTGAGCACCTCCTATTTTCCAGAACCAAAAACCTTACAGAATTCTGAAAGCCATCCTTTAAGGTAAGTAACAGTATCTTCTACTTAACAGACAAGAAAACTAAGAATCAGACTGATAGAACTTGCTCAACATCATAGGCAGAAGAAACATAATTATATTGACAGCCAATTTTATGAAAACATCTATTTTTCACGTTTGTTGTCATTACTACAAAGTCTTTGCTTTTACAGTTTTCTTAAAATCATGTGAATATAAACAGTATTTTTATTTACATTACCATCACTTCTCTTTCTTAAGAGAGATTCTTTGTCTTCCTAAGTCAGAACCACTTATCTATAATTTCTTGCTTATAAATTTTAACAAAATACATATAAGTGGGAGAGCTGGCACTCTTAACCACCATTCTATGCCATATTGCCCTCCTGATTTCTGTTCTTTAAGGCCTACCTGCATAAACTCACATAATTCTAAGAGCTGATTCTTGCCTTATGACAGCATCTGGTTTTCCAAGGATGTCAGGCTAGAGGCTCAAGGGCATCCCAATCTCTTCTACCAATCCTCCCACCTACCGCTTTTTGGCGATTTCATTCTGCCGTTTCACCTTCTCTTCCTCAAACTCCCGGATGTTGCGTACACCAATCTCCCGACAAAACTCTTCAAACACCTCATCCTCTACCTGAGAAGAGAAGCCAGGGAGGGCACCAGCCCTTTTAGTCTGTCCTGCTTCCAGTCCCAGTCCTGCCCTGATGCACATGCCGGTATGGCCCACACCCTACCAACCTGGTTCATCTTCTCCTTCAAGTCTTTCATTTCCCTTTCTCGGCTCTGAATGATCCTCTTGATATCATTAATGCGAGGCCCAAAGTTGGCTAGCTCACTCTCCAGCTTGGATTTCTCCTACAGGCAATGGGTTGAGAGGACAAAGCAGACCAGGATCCTTGGAGGAAAAGCTACCTTGACCGCATTGGCCCCACAGTCAGGAAGGGCTAGCTCTCCACAACTGAGAGACCCTGGCTTAGCACTACCGCTCTAGTCAAGTCTTCATGATGTTGCACTGGAGCCATCACATGGCTTCTTCCCTGGCATCCAGTTCAGCCAGCTTCAATCCACAGGGCTGGGCACACAGTAAACATCATTAAGTATAGGTCCCATACTTTGCTCTATAATCCCTGGGGCCAGAGTTGTTTGGGAATTCAGTTTAGAGTTTTTGAGTTTAGAAAAAGGAGATTAAATGATATATACATACACACACTGCATAACACCTCTAGGGTGGTCTGGGGAAGTACTCAATAAAAAAAATAAAAACCATTAATATACCTAGAACAGTGGCCCATCCCCCCAAAACACAGGCAGGGACTGAAATGCCCATAGCTCACTTCCAAAAATTCAAATTTGTTGAATGAGCAAATTATGCCAACAATAGCACCTAACATAAACTCAACACATAGTAGTCTTAAGCACTTTACATGTTAACTCATTCAATAATGACCCTATAAAGTAGGTATTTATTTTGAGACACAGTCTCGCTCTGTCACTCAGGCTGGAATGCAATGGCACGATTTTGGCTCACTGTAACCTCCACCTCCTGGGTTCCAGCAATTCTCCTGCCTCAGCCTCCCAAGTAGTTGGGATTACAGGCACCTGCCACCACGCCCGGCTAATTTTTTGTATTGTTAGTAAAGATAAGGTTTCACCATGTTGGCCAGGCTGGTCTCTAACTCCTGACCTCAGGTGATCCACCTGTCTCAGCCTCCCAAAGTGCTGGGATTATAGGCATGAGCCATCGCATCCAGCTGAGTAGGTATTATCTTAACTCCTGATTCATAGATAAAGATGTAAAAGTTGACACTGAGAGGTGAAATTATTTGTCTAATGTCATACCCAAGGTAGAGCCAAGCTCTAAATTCCTGGCTGTCTGACTCTATGCTATACTTGGCAACCTGGGGCAGGCTGGGAGGAGACAGGGAAGTGAAACAAGTTCCCCACCCCCAGAGAAACACAGGCCAGGAATGTGTGGATGGCCTTTGGAGAACAGGGCTGAAGGCCAGGCCCCACCTGCAGATTCAGGGCTAGATGTCGTGTCTTGGTCTGTTCTAGGTCACTCTGGGAGTACTTGAGACGCATCTGCAGTCCATGGGCCTGAGACTGCACCTGACGCAGCTCTGCCTCTTTCCGTTTTGCCTTCATCTGCTCCTGAAGTGAAAAAGAAAGAAAGGCTAGGTGGTAAGGTGGTGGCTGACCTAGGCTTAGAACCCCCACTGCTAAAAACAGCACTGCCTGTGACTTACTTTCAGCTCCTCTGTCAAGCGCTCCTTCTTCTCTTTCAATTTGTCAACTGCTTTCTCATCCCAGCGCCGCGCCTTGGCCTTCAGGTCACTGGCCCCACCAGAGATTACCCCTGACTTCTGGAATAGGGTTCCATCCAGTGCCACTGTCTAAACACAGCAGGGGCAACAGAGAAGAGGGAGAGAAGCTGAACAAATGAATCTCCAGTGTTAAGCCTGTCCGGCTCCAACCTGGGCAAGGGAATCCACACCTTGTGGCGCTGGTGGCCTCCAAAGGCAATGCGGCGGGCATCCTCTACATTGTCACAGACAAGGGCATTGCCACAAGCATACTGCAAGGCCTTTTTGATGTGAGGTGGCTCATAGCGAATCACATCAATCACTAGCTTGGCCCCCTTCAGCTCCCGGAGTTTCTCATCTGTAGGCTTCACCTGTGGGGAGAAGCTCAGTCAGTGGCAGAACACATACATGGAGTACTAGAGGGGCCCTTGAACACTGGCCTGACCCAATCCCCAATAAGCCTCACCTCCAGGTAGTCAAGAGGCAAGAAGGTCTCAGGCTCCCCACGCTGCTCCTTGATATACTGAATACAGTCCCGGCCTGTCTTCTCTGAGTCCACAATAATGGCATCCATGTTCTTGCCCAAAACCTTGGTTACAGCAATCTGATACTTCTTTTGTGTGGGCTGGCATAGGTCAATGAGTCGGCCATACTGAGTAAAGTAGGAAGGGAAAACTGAAGCATGAGGCTTTTGGGAGCTGGTTCAGGAATCCTAATTCCCAGTGTGGAAAGGGGGATAGACTAAAATCTAAATCACGAAGCAAATGCAACTGTATTGCCTAGTGGTAAAGATAACCTAATACCGAGCATGGTGGTGTGTATTTGTAATCCTAGCTACTTGGGAGGTTGCAGTGGGAGGATTGCTTAAGCCCAGAAGTTAAAGACCAGCCTGGACAACATAATGCGACCCTGTCTCAAAACAAACAAACAAAAAAGCCTGGGCACAGTAGCTCACACCTGTAATCCCAGCACTTTGGGAGGCTGAGACAGACGGCTCACCTGAGGTCAGGAGTTCAAGATCAGCCTGGCCAACATGGTGAAACCCCGTCTCAACTAAAAATACAAAAAAAATTAGCAAGGCGTGGTGGCACACCCCTGTAAGCCCAGCTACTCAGGAGGCTGAGGCAGAAGAATCGCTTGAACCCAGGAGGCAGAGGTTGCAGTGAGCTGAGATTGTGCCATGGCACTCCAGCCCAGGCAAGAAGAACGAAACTCCATCTCAAGAAAAACAACAACAACAACAAAACAGACCATTAGTTCTGCACCTACGTAATCCTACTCTATCTGAATGGGACTGTATGGACTGAGGAATAGGCAATTGCAGACTAGATGGCTGCGTGCACTCTAGACCAGCACAGTGGCCAATCCTAATGTCCCTTCCAAAGGTGGAAAAGTTTGGGTAAGAGAAGGGAGATAAAGAAATGAGAGTTATGTAATGAGGGAAACTCAATATTACATTAACACCTCAAAAGAGGTTCAGAGCAAGAGATGATATTGTCTCTTAGCACAATTATCCTAGATGCCTGAAAGTGTGAAGCTATGTTTGCTGAGAACACTCCTGGTTTTGGAAGCTAATGAGATTGAATAGAAGCCTGCAAACCTGAATGGCCTTGCCCTAAAAGACATATTCATGATATCATGGACTAACTATTAATTATGACTGAACGCAATTCTATTAACATGCCAGTATCTTTCTACCTTTTTTGTTTTTTTGTTTTGAGACAGTCTCACTCTTGCCCAGGCTGGAGTGCAGTGGCACAATCCCAGCTCACTGCAACCTCTGCCTCCTGGGTTCAAGCGATTCTCCTGCCTCAGACTCCCAAACAGCTGGGATTACAGGCGCCCGCCACCATGTCCAGCTAATATTTGTATTTTTAGTAGAGACAGGGGTTTGACCATGTTGGCAGGCTGGTCTCGAACTCCTGACCTCAGGTGATCTGCCCACCTTGGCCTCCCATAGTGCTTGGATTACAGGCATGAGCCACTGCTCCCTGCCTCTTTCTACATTACATGATTGTTCTGATGCAAGGGATCTGTGTTTGAAGACCAGAGTGGACTGTGGTATTATGAAATACATATTTAGTCTTCTACACCAGAGTTCCTGACACACAACTAAAACCCTTAGAATCTCGGAAATGAGCAGTGTCTTTTGCACATTAATGAGACGATTATGGCTGGAGGCCCATAGTCAGCTTCTAGATAGGGGCTGGTTACCAGAAAGACCAAGGCCTGATTAGATTTGGGACTCTTAGCTCCACCTCCACAACCTTCAGGAGGGGAGAGGGTCCTGAAGGTTGAACTGATCACTGTTGGCTGATAATTTGATCAATCATGACTACATAATGAAACACCTGTGTGAAGGTACCTGGAGGGTGGCTTGCCAGATTGGGCATTTGGAAGATTCACACCTCTTCTCTCATACCTTACCTTATGCATCCATCTGGCTGTTCTCTGTATCCTCTGTAATATCCTTCATAATAAATGGGTAAATGTAAGTAAAACATTTTCCTGAGCTCTGTGAGCTGCTCTAGTAAATTAATTGAACCCAGGCAGGGACTCTCAGGAACTGTAATTTATAGGTCAGTCAGAACCACAAGTCACAATGTGAGACTTGCAACTGGCATCTGAAATCTTGGACTGAGCCCCTAACCTGTGGGATCTGATGCTATCTCTAGATAAACAGTGTTAGAGTTGAACTGAATTATAGGTCACCCAGCTGGTGTCTGCTGGAGAATTGCTGGTGTGTGAGGAAAAACCCCCACACTTCTGGTGTCAGAAGTGAAGTGTTGTGCTGGTTGTGTGAGAGTAGAAAAAACACTTTGGTTTTTTTCCTGTCTCACAGAAGAAAACAGCTCCCATGCTATAAAGCAAAAGCCTATTCTGGCTCCCAAGCAATGACTTCAGGCAGTCGTGTCTGAATCCAAAATCATCTTTCTAAACCTCACATTTACCATTTTACACACTGCTGTCACCCAGGCACTATGCCAAATATCTTATATTTATTATTTCAAATTCTCTTAGGCCCTGAGCAAAATAAATCCGGCTGGGTGTGGCGGCTCACACCTGTAATCCTAGCACTTTGGGAGGTCAAGGCAGGCGGATCACTTGAGGTCAAGAGTTCAAAACCAGCCTGGCCAACATGGAGAAACCTCATCTCTACTAAAAATACAAAAAAATTATCTGGGCATGGTGGTGGGTACCTGTAATCCCAGCTACTTGGGAGGCTGAGGCAGGAGAATCACTTGAATCTGGGAGGTGGAGTATGCAGTGAGCCAAGACTACGCCACTGTACTCAGTCTAGGCAACAGAGTGAGACTCCATCTCAAAATAAATATCTTTTACCAGTTCCTTTCCTGCAGCCTCCAAAGCCAAGCCTGGTTCCCTAAGAACTATCACATAAGAGGGCAGAGACCGACTCTAATTCATACTTATCTCCCCAGCAGTGCCTAGAAGAGTTTTGTGGAACCCAACTAAATTGAACCCAAGTATGGCATAATATTCAGGGAACCTGGGAACTCAGGATTTGGTGAAAGAGGCCAAAAGATCAAGAGATCTGATAAAGCTCAGGGTGTCCCTAAAAGCTACTGGGCTGGTTAGTACATGCCAAGGGAGCCCATATAGAAGACCGCACACAGCTACCTCCTGGGAGAGTAATTCCAGCCCTGTGGCCCCATATGCTTCCAAAATCTTCCCTGGTTTTCCAATTCCTCTCCCAGAGGCATGGACACAGCAAAACAAACCCTTCAGAAAGATGCAATTGGTATGATGAAAAGAACATGAGTGCCTAGTATGACAGGCACTCATTTGAAAAATTAAAAAAAAAAAAATTAACATGAGCTTAGGAGAACATGTTGGGTCTGTACTACAGTTCTTTCATTTAGAAGTACTGCTTTTTTAAACCTCGCCAAGCCTCAATTCCCACAACAATAAAAATGGGACTGGCAACCCTGTCCTCAGAGGGCTGCTGGGAAAATCATGTGACAGTGAGTCTAAGCGCTCAGGAAATGAGTTCCCTCTCCGCTCTTACCACAGAGCCAGGGTAAAGGCGCTTGATGCTCTCCATTATCTCTGCCTTTCGCTGCTGGCGGCTGCTCTCCTGTCGGTCAATGCGAGCATCCCCTAGCTGCTCCATCACCTGGTTCAGTTCCTTATTGATTTCATCAATACGCCGCTTGGCCATCTCCACCTCCTCTGTCAGCTCCCCCTCTAGCTTCTTCTGCTCTTCTAGGGACTGCCTACAAAGTGAGGGCACATAGGAATTACTCCTGCTGGTGAGAAAACACTTCTGGCTCAGAGAGGCTCTGGAGGTCCTTTGTGAAGAGGGGCAGGACAGGCAGGGTCACAAGAACAGGCCTAGAAGTAAGGGGGACAGTTGCAGAGCTACATACTTGCTAGTGGTGATGTATTCTTCCAGTTTCTCAATCCGCTTCTGATTCTCTTCAATTTCCCGCAGCTTTTGCTTGATTTTGGCCTAGGAAACAAACATATCCCATCATCAGGGCTGCACAAGTTTATGCCAAGACCATGGGGACCCTGAGTAACACCCCTTATGTGACCACTCATCCAAGAGCCCAACAGTCCAGGACAATCTATCACTAATATAGGAGACCTACTAAAAAGTAGACATAGGAGCCAGGACCAGTGGCTCACTCCTGTAATCCCAGCACTTTGGGAGGCCAAGGTGGGCAGATCACGAGATCAGCCTGGCCAATATGGTAAAACCCTGTCTCTACTAAAAAAATACAAAAATTAGCCAGGTATGGCGGCACATGCCTATAGTCCCATCTCCTCAGGTTGAGGCAGGATAATCACTTGAACCCAGGAAGCAAAGGTTGTAGTCAGCTGAGATCAAGCCACTGCACTCCAGTCTGGGTGACAGAGCAAGACTCCATAATCAAAAAAAAAGCATAGAGGTTAACTGATGATGGGGGCCTCCCAGATCTCCAGAACCTCTCACAGGTGTTCTACCCAGCCCAGGCAACTTCCTCACCAACCATGGAGGCTCAAATCAAAATAAAGCTTCATAGGCCTGTCTGCACCTCCGTTTCCTTACCTGCAAAATATGGGTAATCTCCATTGCATAGAACATACATTAAGTGCTTAATATAGGGTCGCTATTAATATTAGTGACTACCACATTCTTTTAGAAAATTATTTTTTGGCTGGGCGCAGTGGCTCACACCTGTTAATCCCAGCACTTCAGGAGGCCAGAGCAGGCAGATCATGAGGTCAGGATTTTAAGACCAGCCTGACCAACATGGTGAAACCCCATCTCTAACTAAAAATACAAAAATTAGCCAGATGTGGTGGCGCCTGCCTGTAATCCCAGATACTCAGGAGACTGAGGCAAGAGAATTGCTTGAACCTGGGAGGCAGAGGTTGCAGTGAGCTGAGATTGCGCCACTGCACTCCAGCCTGGGAGACAGAGCAAGACTCCATCTCAAAAAAAATTTTTTTTTAATTATTTTTTAAAATTTCATGGACTGCAAGTCCATAAAAAAACTAAATTAAAAATGGACTGCAAGTCCATTTAAAAAAAAGTACCGTAAGTCCATAAAAAAATAAAATAAAATAAAATTTGAGATAGGTTCTCACTGTTGCTCAAGCTGATCTCAAACTCCTGGCCTCAAGTGATCCACCATGCCTGGCTAACATTCTTTTAAATATTTAAAAGTGCTTAGCAGAATGCCTAGAACACTGTACACTCCTGGGACACTGTGACAACTTTCTATCACTGTTATTACAATATTGATATCAGGGAGGCAGTAAGTGAAGTATATTTGGTAAGAGTGTGGGCTTTAGAGCAACACTGTCCAGGTTCTGGTTCTGCTATTTAATAGTTATGTGAGTGGCTGGGCGCAGTGGCTCACATCTGTAATCCCAACACTTTGGGAGGCTGAGGTAGGCAGATAGCTGAGGCAGGCAGATAGCCAAGGCAGGCAGGAGTTTGAGACCAGCCTGAGCAACAAGGCGAAACCCTGTCTCTACAAAAAATTAGGAGGCTGAGGCAGGTGGATCACTTGAGGTCAGGAATTCAAGACTAGCCTGGTCAACATGGTGAAACCCCATCTCTACTAAAAATACAAAAAATTAGCTGGGCATGGTGGTGCATGCCTGTAATCCCAGCTACTCAGGAGGCTGAGGCAGGAGAATTGCCTGATCCCAGGAGGCAGAGGTTGCGGTGAGCCGAGATCGTGCCATTGCACTCCAGCCTGGGTAACAAGAGCAAAACTCTGTCTCAAAAAAAAAAAAAAAAAAAAAATTCCATCTCTACTAAAAATATAAAAAATTTAGCCAGGTGTGGTGGTACCCACCTGTCACCCCAGCTCCTTGGGTGGTGGCTGAGACTTAAGAATCACTTGAAAAAAAAAAAAAAAGAATCACTTGAACTGGGCCGAGAGCGATGGCTCATGCCTGTAATCCCAGCACTTTGGGAGACCGAGGAGGGTGGATCAGCTGAGGTCAGGAGTTCGAGACCAGCCTGACCAACGTGGTGAAACCCTGTCTCTACTACAAATACAAAAATTAGCCAGGTTGGTGGCTGGCACCTGTAATCTCCTCAGCTACTCGGGAGGCTGAGGCAGAATTGTCTGAACCCAGGAGGCAGAGGTTGCAGTGAGCCAAGATTGTGCCACTGCACTCCAGCCTGGGCAACAAGAGTAAAACTACGTCTCAAAAAAAAAAAAGGAATCAGTTGAACGTGGCAGGCAGAGGTTGCAATGAGTCGAGATCATGCCACTGCACTCCAGCCTGGGCAACAGAGTGAGACTCTGTCTCAAAAAGAAAAGTAGCCAGCCATGGTGGCAAGCACCTCTTGTCCTGGATACTTGGGAGGCTCTGGCAGAAAGATCGCTTTGATCCTGGGAAGTCGAGACTACAGTGAGCCATGGTCACACCACTGCATTTCAGCCTGCATGACAGAGAAAAGACCCTGTCTCAAAAATAACAATAACTCCTTGTGACCTTAGGCAAATTACTCTGTGTCGTCATTTCCTCATTTGTGAAATAGGGTAATAGTAGCCATTCCATAAAAGTAATCATAAATGATTAAATGAGTAAATACATGTAAAGAACACTGCCTATCATATAGTAAGTGCTCAACAGATGTGAGCTATTGTCATTATCATTAAGACTATCAGCCACACCCATAATCCCAGCACTTTGGGAAGCCAAGATGGGTAGATCACTTGAGGCCAGGAGTTCAAGACCAACCTGGCCAACATGGAGATACCCCAGCTCTACTAAAAATACAAAAAAAAATTAGCTGGGCATGGTGGCAGGTGCCTGTAATCCCAGGTACTCGGGAGGCTGAGGTAGGAGAATTGCTTGAACCTGGAAGGCAGAGGTTGTGGTGAGCCAAGGCTGAATCACTGCACTCCAGCCAGGGTAACAGAATGAGACAGTGTCCCAAAAAAAAAAAAAAAAAAAAAGACTATCATTACACGCTGGGTATCTCTCATCCAAAATGCTTGGGACCAGAAATCTTTCAGATTTTGGTTTATTTTGGATTTGGGATGCTCAACCTGTACTTCCTTTTATGTGGACCATCAACCACAATAACTGTAGCCCACCTCTGTCTCTACTTTCTTCCGTTCTTCCAGATCCAAACGGTCCTGGTCAGCTTTCTGGTCTCGATTGAATTTCTCTAGCTCCTGGGCCAGGGTAGCTGCTCTCTTGCTGGCTTCTTCTTTCAACCGGTGGTATTTCTTCACCTGTGTTAGGGACAGGGAAAGAGAACAGGGTTGACCAAGTCAGCAGATGTCAGCCCCAGGGACCTCCTCCCTGCCAACCCCTTCCAGAACTTACCTGATTTTCCTCCAAGGTCAAATCTCTGCCCTGACTCTGACTCTCCTCTTCCATCCGTTCTTCAAACTCCTGCCGGGCCTTCTCCACTGACAGCATCTCCTTCTCCAGCTCATCCATGTCACCTTTACGCTTCTTGTAGTGCTTCTGAGCATTCTGCAGAGACTTCTTGGCTGCTTCCAGCTTCTTGATTTTGTGGGAGGTATTCTCCTTGGCTTTGATGTACTGAGGCCGCTTCTGGTTCAATTCTGAATCCTTCTCCCTTTTGCCAGAGGGGCGGAGGAAACCAGTGAACATTTTGGAAGAAGGGAGGGTTCCCAGGCTTTTTACCCAAAGGGGAGTTTAAGCCCCTCAGCCAACCTCAGGGAATTAAAGAACAAGGACATGATACCCCACAGATGCTAAAAAAAGGGGCAGTCTGACTACTCTCTGGAAGGTATGACTTCACCCTGGCATTCCAGCCACTCCATAAGGAAAAGCTACCAACTCTGCCTCAACCCTGGCCAGGACACTAATTAACAACTCCCAAGAACATCCTGTATTTACTTAGTTGGCCCCTGTCTGATCTAACCTTTTCAAATTCCTATCCTTTAAACTTCTAGCTTCAGTTTTCCTCTTCTAGGAAGGCCTTCCCAGCCATTCCATTGGCTCGGCCTCACACTGCTTCCTCTTTCTTGGCAAGGCCACCACCCCTTTTGAGTTCTCCCTCATCTGAGCACCTGTCTACCCAGGGCCTGATTGCTTAAATATTCTATTTGTCTAAACTGCAAGTCAAGAAATGGGCTTGGTTCTTATAAAAGCAAGTCAGGAAAATAACACAAATAAGCGGGCTCATAGGAACCCTAATGAACAGCATGGCCTCCTGGTTTCCCACAAGTTGCAGGCCCAGGTCCACCTCTTACTTGATCTCTTTCTCAATCTGCTGCTGCTCCCGCATCATTTTGCCCAGCTCCTTCTTCTTTTCCTTCAGCTCATCCTCCACTTTGTCCATACGCTTCTTGTCCTTCTCGATCTCCTTGTTCTTAGAGGCCAGTTCCTTGTTGAGCTTCTCAATTTCCACTTCATTATGGTAAAGCTTAAAGAGCTGCAGCTGTACCTGAGCTCGTACTACCTCATCCTTCAGGCGCTGGTAGCGGTCAGCCTGTGTAAACAGGGGAATGGTGGCAGGGGTGCATCGATAAGGCACTGGCTCCATCCTGGTCCCTCAGATCCAAGAGGTAGGTTGGCCACCTACCTCTTCTTTCTCCTGCTTTGCTTCCTTGCGTTCAGCTGCAATATTTTTCTTGCGATGGTAATTAAACTGTGTGTCCTCTTCGGCCTTCACCATTTCCTTCTTTCGCTTGTCATACTCCTGTGCCAGCTCCCCAGAGCGACTAATCTCTTCAAATAGAGCTGTCCTCTCTTTGGGGTTCTTCATGGCAATAGATTCCACAGCACCCTAGTAAAGGTCGAAACACTCTTCCACTTCAGACACCAGCCAGCCCAGTTCACCTTACCTATTTACACTCCTTCATCCAAAAAAGTTCACTGACGTTCTCTCCCACACCCCTGGTGCCACATTTCACACTGGGCTTTGAGGACAAATTCCTTGCCCTCTGTGGAGCACAGGGAGCCAAAGGGAAGGGACAAACACAAAGATAACACAGTGTTACATGCAGTAACAGAAACAGCACATGAAAAGGACAAAATGAAGCTTGGGGGTAGGAGACTGACAGGGATAGCTACCTCAGAATGCTTCCCAAAGGTGACATCTGTGCTGAGTTTGGAAGATGGGAGGAAACTAACCAAGAAAATAAAAGACAAAAGATGGCCAGTCATGGTAGCTCATGCCTGTAATCCCAGCACTTTGGGAGGCCAAGGCAGGAGGATCACCTGAGGTCAGGAATTCAAGACTAGCCTGTCCTAAATGGTGAAACCCCGTCTCTAGCAAAAATACAAAACTTAGCCAGGTGTGGTGGCAGGTGCCTGTAGTCCCAGCTACTCGGGAGGCTGAGGCAAGAGAATCGCTTGAACTTGGGAGGTGGAGGTTGCAGTGAGCTGAGATCGTGCCACTGCACTCCAGCCTGGGTAACAAGGGAAACTCCGTCTCCAAAAAAAAAAAAAAAAAAAAAGGTTATTCCATGTAGAGGTAAATTAATATGCAAAGACCTGTAGGCCAAAGAAAGCAGGTGAATTTGCAGAACGATAAACGGTTTAAGTAGGCTGCAGTGCAAGGCTGGAAGAGAAGAGCATACAGATGGTATTTGGATTTCGATGATATTTCCCAAATGATAGGCTTAGAAATTTGGATCTCATCCTAAGGCAACAGTTCTCAAATTTCAGCCAGCATCATAATAACAGGGAGAGCTTGGTAAAACACAAACTGCTCTGCCCCACCCCACAGTTCCTTCCAAGTCAGGAGGTCTAGGATAGGGCCCGAGAATGTGCATTTTCTAACATGTTCCCAGGTAATGTTGATACTGCTGGTGTGGAGACTACAGTTTAAGAACCACCACTGTAAGGCAATAAGGAATCACTGAAATGCTTTAAGGAAAAAAGGGAGGGGAAATAAAACAAATGTGTGTCCTCGTAAGATGAACCTGGCTCAGGGGCCATACTTGAGTCGGGAAGCTCAGTGAAGAAGATGCTACATTAGTTCAAGGGAGAGATGATAAAGCCTGAGATGAAGCAGGCACAGTAGGGATGGGACATGGTCTGGCAAAAACCAGATAGCCAACTGTTAAAACCGCCCACCTGGAAAACGAGGAAGTTACGAGCTTTGATGAGAATGCCCAACTTCTCTAATTCCTCACTGTACTCATGTAGCTGGACCACTTTGTTGTTGATCTTGTACTCAGAGGAACCCCCTACAAAACAATGCATGAGTTGGCAAGGGTCAGGCCTCCTTCCTGTCCCAGGCAACTAGTCTAGCCACCTCCCAGGACCCAAAGAGAGCCTTCTGGCAAGCCTCACCCACCTACAATGACACGGGCAAAGGTGCGGTCCTCAGCTCCCTCCTCAGAGTAGACCATGCTGACGAAAGCCCGGTTGGCAGCTGGCTTGCCCACAGGAGCTCCATGGATCAGGTCCCGCAGGGTCTTTACCCTCAGGTTGCTGGTTTTCTCACCTAGCACAAAGCTGATGGCATCCATGAGATTTGACTTACCTAAGGGAAGAAGGGACAAGGCAGTAGAGGGAAAGTCAGAATGAAGAGGAGAGGAAAAGGAATAAAGATATTGAGACAAACAAGAATTTCCCCTAATCACTCAGTACTCAAACTAATGGGAGGAGAGATTACTCCTCTGCCCCCATAAAGACTGAGCACAACCAAAGCTCTGGGTCAAAGGCTTAAGAAAAACAGTCCTCCTGCAGTTACTGTATAGCAGTCAGAAGCTATACAATAGAAACCAGGCCAAGCATAGTGGCACACACCTGTAATCCCAGTACTTTGGAAGGCCGAGGCAGGGAGATCGCTTGAAATCAGGAGTTTGAAATCAGCTTCGACAACAAGGCAAAACCCAGTCTCTACTAAAACTTTAAAAATTAGCTGGGCCTGGTGGCATGCACCTGTAGTCCCAGCTACTCAAGAGGCTGAGGAGGGAGGATCACTTGAGCTCAGGAGTTCAGGGCTGCAGTGAGCTACGAGGACACCACTGTACTCCAGCCTGGGCAACAGAGCAAGACTAACTTGAACCTAAACAAGCCTTTAGACTTATCTTCCAGTTTCTAGGAAATACAGCAATACAATATAGAGAAATATAGTAAGGTTTCCTCATGGAAACCTTAACATGAACACAGAACATGGGATGTTCTACAAGACAAATGGCCTGATCTTTTCAAAACGTCAGTGTCGGCTGGGCGTGGTGGCTCATGCCTGTAATCCCAGCACTTTGGGAGGCTGAGGCGGATGGACCATGAGGTCAGGAGATGAGACCATCCTGGCTAACACAGTGAAACCCCGTCTCTATCAAAAAATACAAAAAATTAGCTGGGCATGGTAACATGTGCCTGTAGTCCCAGCTACTCAGGAGGCTGAGGCAGGAGAATCGCTTGAACCTGGAAAGCAGAGGTTGCAGTGAGCCAAGATCGCGCCACTGCACTCCAGCCCAGGCAATAAAGGGAGACTCCGTCACAAACAAACAAACAAACAAACAAACAAAAAAAGTGTCTAAAATGAAAGGTTGAGAGAACCATTCCAAACCATGAGAGATTTCTGAGACATAGGCAAACAGTGCACAAACTCTGACTCGACTCTGGTTCCAAAACAACAAAAAGACATTTAGGAAGCAAATTAAGAAAGCTTAACTATAAACTGGAGTCTGGGCGTGGTGACTCAAGCCTGTAATCCCAGCACTTTGAGAGGCCAAGGCGGGTGGATCACCAGGTCAAGAGATCGAGACCATCCTGGCCAACATGGTGAAACCCCATCTCTACTAAAAATACAAAAATTAGCTGGGTCTGGTGGCGTGTGCCTGTAATCCCAGCTACTCAGGAGGCTCAAGCAGGAGAATCACTTAAACCCAGGAGGGGGAGGTTATAGTGAGCCGAGATTGCGCCACTACACTCCAGCCTGGGCAACAGAGGGAGACTCTGTCTCAAAAAAAAAAAAAGTTTAGATGGGCTGGTGGATAAGGAGGAACAGTTTAGTCTCTATAATTTCTATCTCAAGATTCTCCCTAAACGACTTATATATGACTTCAAACTGAAGATCTGATTTCCAACACCTTTCTACTCAGCCATAAAAAAAGCAGCCCAAGTCCTTCCATGGAGACGGTATAACTATGACTAGGTTGAGCATGGTATCTCACTCCTGTAATCCCAGCACTTTGGGAAGCAGAGGTGGGCAGATCACTTATCTCAGGAGTTTGAGACCAGCCTGGACAACACGGCAAAATCCCGTCCCTACAAAAAATATAAAAATTAACTGGGCATGGTGGCACACTCCAGTTGTCCTGGCTACTCCGGAGGCTGAGGTGGGAGGGTTGCTTGAGCCCGGGAAGTTGAGGCTGCAATGAGCCATGATTGTGCCACTATACTCCAGCCTTAATGACAAAGCAAGACGCTGACTCAAAAAAAAAAAAAAAAAAAAAAAAGGCCGGATGAGATGGCTCAAGACTATAATCTCCGTACTTTGGGAGGCTGAGGTGGGTGGATCACTTGAGGTCAGGAATCCAAGACCAGCCTGGCCAACATGGTGAAACCCTATCGCCACCAAAAATACAAAAATTAGCCAAGGTGGTGGTACACACCTGTGATCCCAGCTACTTGAGAGGCTGAGGCAGGAGAATAGCTTGAACCTGGGAGGCAGAGGCTGCAGTAAGCCAAAATCCCACCACTGCACTCCAGCGTGGACCACAGAATGAGACTCCGTCTCCAAAAAAAAAAAAAAAAAAAAGCTTGGGCTTAGAACCAACAGACCAGGTTCTAATCTTACTTTCACTACTTCTTAGCTAAGCTTCCATTCCCTCACCTGGAAAAAAGTGAAAAAACCACAACTCACAGGTCTAAAAATATGTGTGGTACATACATCTCTGTTGGAATGGCAGGAGCACAGGCATGGGTTCTGAGAATGATGGACAAGTTATCACACCTCTGTGCCACAGTCTCCTCACGTATAAAATGAAGCTATTGGCATTTCCCTCCTAGGGTCATTTTGAGAATTTAAATGTAAAGGGTCCCTTGGCTGGGCGCAGTGGCTCATGCCTGTAATCCCAGCACTTTGGGAGGCTGAGGCAGGCAGATCACTTGAGTCCAGGAGTTTGAGACCACCCTGGCCAACAGGGCAAAACACCATCTCTACTAAAAATACAAAAACTACCTAGGTGTGGTGGCGCACATCTGTAGTCTCAGCTACTTCGGAGGCTGAGGCACGAAAATCCTTGAACCCAAGAGGCAGAAGTTGCAGTGAGCCAAGATCATGCCACTGCACTCCTGCCTGGACGACAGAACAAGAATATCTCAAGAAAAAAAAGAAGAGTCCCAATAAATAAAGTACTTGACACACACAGTAGGTAATTAATTAATGAGTCCTATCCTAACATAATTCTAGACTCAGCTCGTCTCCCTCATCACAGCAGGACTAGCATACCATGCAGACCAGGAGTCAGTCAGCCTTTTAGGAACCAATATCCAACCCTTAGGCTTCTCCCATCATTTCCAGGGATGACAAAAACATCTCACAACCACAGGCCTCTCTAATCACAATCAATCTTGTAAACATTTTTATAATATATATTATGGACTGAACACCAGTAAAACTTCTCAAGGAATGTCTGCTTTACAGTATTCACAGACCAATGAAGATATAAAAACAGACACCATCAATACAGGACTTAAAACATTAATGTGTGCCAAGTGTCTACGGTATGCCACAGAGGAAGAGGGCAAAGGGACTACAAGTTCCCTGTGAACATGGACTTGGTTTATTCTATTCTCCGCTGTCTCCACAACTTGAAATTGAAAAACTCCTGATAAATAAGCATTCAACAAATTTGGTAAAACAATGAGTTTCGGCTTTTGACGGGTTCGGTGCTGAGAGTTCGAGGCAACTACCTTTACTATAACGGTTAGGGGTGGGGATCGAGACCTCAAGCACTCTAAAGACCGGAGCGCTGGGTATGAAATTCAAAAGTGGCGCCTTGGGAGGGGAGTAAAAAGGAAAGAGTTGGAGTATACCAATGCAAGGCAGGAGGGGACGCTGGGCTGAAACAGAAGTGCACCGTTTGGGACCGGAGGCCACAGGAGAACTACGACCTGTCCCCACATTTTCCGGAGAGAGTCAAATAAAGCTGGGAAGCCGGCTCGGGCCGGTCCAGCCGGGAGCCGCGTGGCGGGGGACTGGCAGCTGGCGGGCAGCTGGCTCCGGACGCGCCTCCTTTGGCGGGAGGGGGAAGTGGGCGGGGTAACGGGCAGCTCGGCCAGTACCACTCGGACAGGGCGGGGGCCGCGAAGGAAGCCGCAAAAGTGACACCTGGAAGGGGTTCGAGTTAGAGCACCTGCGCGGGGAGAGCGGGTTCCAGCAGAACCCCCTGTGGAGGGGCAAGGAACCCGTAAGGGTCCTCGACGTTTCAGGTTACATGGGCCGAGGTGCACTACTCCAGCACCGGATAGGGGGTCCAGGCCGGGACTAAGCAGGGCCGCAGCCAGGTTTATCTCACCAGAGCCATTTGGGCCAATGATGGCGGTGAACCTCTGAAATGGTCCGATAATCTGTCGACCCTTGTAAGACTTAAAGTTCTCGATCTCAATCAGTTTCAGGAACCCCATGACGGCCGTGGCGCCGGTGGCAATACGACAGGCCGCGCCGTACGACCGGGAACTGAGATAGTCCGCGCGGGAAACGCCGCAGTGCAGGCCGGGCGGCTGACAAATCTCGCGATATTATGTCCAGGCCTAACGTGATTTTCGGCTTCCGGCAGGAGTGGCACCAGGGGCGGAAACTACGTTCTGACGCCGAGGTTTTATTGTTGCGTTTCTGAGGCGCGAGCTGACAATTGGTGTGGTGGCCGCTCCCCCTTTTTTGTTGCATGGCAACAATAAACAATTGTATTGCGAAAGGGGTCCCCAAAGGAGTTGGTGCTGGGCGGAGTCAGTGCAGCTCTTGAGATTCAGGGAGGCGGGGAATACCTGATCCCACGCTTGCTGAGACAGAAGTCACAGCAGGATTATGCCCCTCAGGGCAAGAGGAAGGTGGGAGCTCGGCTGTGGCTTTAGCCTGGCCCAGACTTAAAGGCTAGGTCAAGGACCGAGTCGGGAGTTGGAAGGACCCTGTGGGAAAAAGAGGGCTGGACGGGAAGGAGGGGCCAACGGAGGATTCAGTGTTAAGTGAGCTCAGGCTTTGCTAATGGTGGGGTGGGATTGGAGGCGGGACGGGATGCGAAGGTGGATGGGGTGTGAATAGGGCTGGGGCTATTCCCAGGCAATAGGGATACAGGATGGGGAAGGCTATGGCCTGAGATACTACCCCTATCCCCTGCCTTCCTGCGGTTTTACCAAGCAGAGTTCAGAAACTGCAGCCGTAACCCAAGAACAAAGTTGCATGCAGAGCCAACCTAGGAGCTTCAAAATCGGGATTCCTTACTGAGAAAGGTATTTTGTGTGAACCCCCAGGAGTCAGGGTCCCTAAGCCTGTGCTCTCAACATCCATCTACCTCTCCATGCCTCTCCCCCATCCCAGTCCCACAGCTCTATACCACTCTGCTACCTTACCTCTCTTCCGTCTCTGCTCTCTATCATTACTAAGGCCGGAGCCTTAGCAATCCAAGAAGCTTAAAATGTCTGCTGAATCTTCCCCTTCAGTGACCTTATACTGTGGTGGCAGGTGGAACTGTAGGTAAGTTGGTGCCATTCTCAGATTTAAATATGGAAAGGATCTGGTGGTTGCCATAATCATTACTGTAACTTTTTTTTTTTTTTTTTTTTTTGAGACAGTCTCCCTCTGTCGCCCAGGCTGAAGTGCAATGGCACATTCTTGGCTTGGTGCAACCGCCGCCCCCCAGGTTCAAGCAATTCTTTTGCCTCAGCCTCTCAAATAGCTGGGACTACAGGTGCGTTTCACCACGCCCAGCTAATTTTTTGTATTTTTAGTAAAGACAGGGTTTCATTATGTTGGCCAGGCTGGTCTTGAACTCCTGACCTCGTGACCTGCCTGCCTCGACCTTCCAAAGTGCTGGGATTACAAGTGTGAGCCACCGCGCCCGTCCCAGCTATTTTTTTATATTATGTCCGAAGTATGGAAAGAGTCCTAAAGACTTAGGACAAGTCCGGTGAAGTGAGAAAATGGCTGGGCATGGTGGCTTACACCTGTAATCCCAGGGTGAGGGAGGCAGGCCAAGGCAGGAAGATCACTTGAGTCCAGCAGTTCAAGGCCAGCCTGAGCAATATAGTGAGACCCTATCTCAACTAAAAATTTTAAAATTAGCTGAGTGGCCGGGCGCAGTGGCTCACGCCTGTAATCCCAGCACTTTGGGAGGCCGAGGTGGGCGGATCATGAGGTCAAGAGATCGAGACCATCCTGGCCATGGTGAAACCCTGTCTCTACTAAAAATACAAAAATTAGCCGGGCATGGTGGCACGCGCCTGTGGTCCCAGCTACTCGGGAGGCTGAGGCAGAAGAATCGCTTGAACCCAGGTGGAGGTTGCAGTGAGCTAAGATTGCGCCACTGCACTCCAGCCTGGCGACAGAGTAAGACTCTGTCTCAAAAAAAAAAAAAAAAAAAAATTAGCTGAGTGTAGCAGCTCTCACCTGGGGTCTACCCAGGAGGTGGAAGCAGGAGGATCGCTTGAGCCTGGGAGGTTGAGGCTATAGTGAGCAGTGATGACACCACTGCACTCCCGCCTGGTTAACAGAGCAATACCCTGTCTCAAAAATAAATAATTAAAGGGAGGAAACTTGGTAGATGAAATCTAGTAGGGGAGCCATAAATGAAGTTCAGCTGGGAGAAACAATCAGCCTGAGGGGATAAAGTGGCTAACGGACAGCAATCTCATATAATCTATGGGAAATACTGTTCCCTTTTAAAAGATGAGATGGGGAGCCTGGGTAACATAGCAAAACCCCATCTCTACAAAAAAAAATTTTTTTAATTAGCCAGGCATGGTGGCACACACCTGTAGTCCCAGCTACTCAGGAGGTTGAGGCAGGAAGATCCTCTGAGTCCACGAGTTCAAGGCTGCAGTGAGCCATGATTACACCACTGCACTCCAGCCTGGGCAAAAGAGAGAGACCCCATCTAAAACAAATTTAAAATAAGTTTTTAAATTAAAAAAAGATGAGATGGCACTCGGAGGGGGGGGGATTAAATTGGATCCTTATATCACACCAAACACAAAATGCAATTCCAAGTACATTAAAAATCTAAATGAGGCCAGGCGCAGTGGCTCACGCCTGTAATACCAGCACATTGAGAGGCCAAGGCAGGTGGATCCCAAGGTCAGGAGTTCGAGACCACCCTGACCAACATGGTGAAACCCCATCTCTACTAAAAATACAAACAGCCGGGCATAGTGGCATACGCCTGTAATCCAGCTACTCAGAAGGCTGAGGCACGAGAATCGCTTGAACCGGGAAGTGGAAGTTGCAGTGAGCTGAGATCATGACACTGCACTCCAGCCTGGGCAACAGATTGAGACTCCAACTCAAAAAAAAAAATTTTGAAAGGCAAAACTTTAGAAATTTTAGAAGAATATATAGGAGAATATCTTTATGACCTCAGAATAGGGAGGAATTTCTTAAGTAATAACTACTAAGCACAAAGGAAGAGATGGGTAGATATGACTGCATTCAAATTCACCGTAAAGAAAGTGAAAAGATAGCTAAGTGCACACAGAAAGCTTCTAAAATATTGATAATGTTCTATTTTCTGAGTGTTGTGTAGAGTTCACAGGTGTTCATTTTGTTAATGTGCTTCATAATTCACATGTGTATCAATCACATTCCTTTGTTTTTGTTTTGTTTTGTTTTGTTTGAGATGGAGTTTCGCTCTTGTTACCCAGGCTGGAGTGCAATGGCACGATCTCGGCTCACCACAACCTCTGCCTCCTGGGTTCAGGCAATTCTCCTGCCTTAGCCTCCTGAGTAGCTGGAATTACAGGCACGCGCCACCATGCCCAGCTAATTTTTTGTATTTTTAGTAGAGATGGGGTTTCACCATGTTGACCAGGATGGTCGATCTCTTGACCTCGTGATCCACCCGCCTCGGCCTCCCAAAGTGCTGGGATTACAGGCATGAGCCACCGCAGCTGGTGTGTTTTGTTTTGTTTTTTGAAATGGAGTCTAGCTCTGACACCCAGGCTGGAGTGTAGTGGTGGGATCTTGCCTCACTGCAACCTCCACCTCCCAGGTTCAAGCGATTCTCCTGTCTCAGCCTCCTGAGTAGCTGGGATTACAGGTGCACGCCGCCATGCCCGCCTAATTTTTTTTATTTTAGTACAGACGGGGTTTCACCATGTTGCCCAGGCTGGTCTCGAACTCCTGAGCTCAGGCAATCCACCCGCCTCGGCCTCCCGAAGTGCTAAGATTACAGGTGTAAGCCACTGCGCCCAGCCAACCACATTCCTTTGTATGTATCAATTGTTACCTTAAAAATCAAGTGACAGCCAGTACGGTGGCTCCTACCTATAATCCCAGCACTTTGGGAGGCTGAGGCAGGCAGATTACTTGAGGTCAGGAGTTCGAGACCAGCCTGACCCACATGGTGAAACTCCATCCTATTAAAAATACAAAAATTAGCTGGGTGTGGTGGTGTGCACCTATAGTCCCAGCTACTTAGGAGGCTGAGGCAGGAGAATCACTTGAACCCAAGAGGCAGAGGCTGCAGTAAGCTGAGGTTGAGCCGCTACAACCTGGGCAACAGAGCAAGACTCTGTCTCAAAAAAAAAAAAAAATCAACAAGTCACAAATTTGGAGAAAATATTTGCCACACTTAAATGAAGAAATGGTTAATGTGTAGAATATTAAAGGAACTCCTACAATTAATTTTAAAAGGACAATCTGGCTGGGCATGGGGTCACAGGGTCACACCTGTAATCTCAGCAATTTGGGAGGCTGAGGTGGGAGGATTGCTTGAGCTCAGGAGTTCAAGACCAGCCTGGGTTAAATGGAGAAACCCTGTCTGTACAATAAAATACAAAAATTAGTCACACCTGTAGTCTCAGCTACTCGGTAGGCTGAGGTGGGAGGATCAGTTGAGCCCAGGAGGTGGAGGTTGCAGTGAGCCAAGATCAAGTGACAGCCAGTATGGTGTGACAGAATGAGATCCTGTCTCAAAAAAAAAAAAAAAAGCCTGATTTTTTTTGAATGGACACTCCAAAGAGAATTAAACAAAAATGGTCAAAAAACACATGAACTTTATTATCAATAAGGAAAATTCCAAAATAAAACAAGTAATTATAATTTTATACCCACAAATTGCCAAAAATGTAAAAGTCTGTTATACCAAGTGTTGGTGAGAATGTGGAATGACTAGAATTTTTATACACTATTGTGAAAGTGTAAATTACAATCTCTTTGGAAAACAACATAGCACTATCTTGTAAAGTTAAATATGCACATACCCTATGATCCAGCACTTCCACTCCTAGGTCTATACTAGAGAAATGTTCCCACTCTGTATATATAAATCTTTAAAAATCGATAGGTCCTTCTGTCTTTTTCTCTTGTAAAAAACAATTAACTGAGTTGTTTGTCCTGCAGTCCTAGTCTCTCTTGAGGCCACTTCAATCAGGGTTTCATCTCCAGAACGCCATCAAAAATGTTCTTGTCAGGCTAGACATGGTAGCTCACACCTGTAATCTTGGCACTTTAGGAGGGTGAGGCAAGAGGATCACTTGAGCCCAGGAGTTCAAGACCAGCCTGGGCAACATAGTGAGAGAGAAAAGGAATGGTAACACATTTTGGATAGTGTGTGGAGTGCTCTTGGAATAAGGATGATGGGGAATAGATCCAGGACACTTCAGTGGTATCAATAACGTCTGTTTCTTAGCTGGGGAGTTGGTTCACAGATCTCTATGTTATCATGCATCCTAACTTACATATATGGGTTATATATGTTCTCCTGTATGTATCAACTACTTCGCAATTACAAAATAGAAAACACCAAAAAGATCCAAAGTAGCTATAGGAGGAATTAAAGAATCATGCTCCAAACAAATGAACAGCATATACAAAGGCCCTGGTGTGGGAACAGTTACTGTGTTGGAGGACTTGATCGGTGTGCCTGGAGCTTTGTAAGCAAGAGAGATGCTGGTTTGAGACAAATTGGAGAGATATGCAGGAACCAGATCTTGAAAGCCCACAGTAAGGAGTTTGGATCTGATTCTAAGTACAGTGGGAAGCTAGTGGAGGATTTAAGCAGGTGAGAGACATGATCAGATTTATGTTTGCTAAAGATTTTGGCTGCAGCTTTGGCTGGGTTACATGCCAAAAGTGAGCTTCCCAAAATATGAAGGAACACAGACAAATTTAAGCTTTCTAGCTTTTCATTTGACCAGAAAATAAGTAATAAAAATAAATATAAGGGGGGACATATATTTCAGAAAAGAAAGCTGCTTCTGCTTTCTGTGATTGGGCTATAGGAGTCAATAGGAAGCTGGAAGACCAGTGTGGAGACAGTTGTGATTATTTAGGAAGGTGGCTTAGACCAGGGTTATTTTGAAAGAAGAGGGAGTGAGGAAAAGGATTAAAGGATGTCTCCTAGGTTTTTGGCCTGAGCAACTTGGTGAATAGTGGTACCATTTATTGAAATAAGGAAAACTAATGGGCACGGTGGCACGTGCCTGTAGTCCCAGCTACTCGGGAGGCTGAGGTGGGAGGATCGCTTGAGCCCAGGAGTTCTGGGCTGTAGTGCGCTATGCCGATCGGATGTCCGCACTAAGTTCGGCATCAGTATGGTGAACTCCCAGGAGCAGGGAACCACCAGGTTGCCTAAGGAGGGGTGAACTGGCCCAGGTTGGAAACTAAGCAGGTCAAAATTCTGGTGCTGATCAGTAGTGGGATCGTGCCTGTGAATAGCCACTGCACTCCAGCCTGGGCAACATAGCGAGACCCTGTCTCTTAAAAAAAAAAAAAAAAATGGAAAACTGTATAGAGTACAATGGATGTGTTTGATGTTTGATGTGTTTGAGGTTTAGGAAGGTGAGCAGGGGTCAGATCATGAAGAACCTTATAAATCTGGCAAAGGGGGTTGGATCTTATCTTGTAAGCACTGGGGAGCCATTTGCTTTAAAGGTGCTTTCAAAGGCTTTATGCTGAGGAGTGCCATGGTCAGATTTGCTTTCACAAAGATCACTCTGGTAGCCAGTGCAGAGAAATCCAGTTGCAGAAAGGGTAACATTGGAGCAAGAGAGCCCAGTGAGGCTCCTGAGATACTGCCTGACACCAGACTGTGAGGCCTGAGTTAAGCTGGTGGCAGCAGAGATAGAGAACACAGATATGAAATACATCATGAAATAAAATCAGTAGGAATCAATAACTGCTGAAATATTAATAAGGAGAAAGGAATGGGGGTGGTGTGTAGTCAAAGATGGTGGTCAGCACTGATGGGCCATTCTACCTCCCTTTTGCTTCAGATGTATAACATAAACCAGTTAACAGATCCCAGGGAAGCAGCAGCCATCGAGGCTAAAAGAAATCGAGAAAAAGAGCGACAAAACCGATTCTTCAATGTGCGGAACCGAGTCATGGGGGTGAGTGGGTAGTAGGGACTGTTGCTCAGGATTGGGCCACCTCACTCTTACACCTGGAGAGGAACGTGTAGCAGTGCCCATGAGAGCCCTTTCCCTGATCCAAGCAGGCCTCTAGGGTGGGAAAAGAAGGAGAGGGAGAGAAGGGACCCACCCCTACAGGCCTGAGAAGGGCTTAGGAAGAGGGATGGGTCAGTGCAGGGGAAGAGACTAGGGGAGACAGCTGACCCTTCTCCAGTCAGCTCTGGGCCATGTGACCTAGTTCTTGGGACAGGCAACATGGAGCTAAAAGAGGCCTAAAGAATATTTGGAGGCTGGGTACAGTGGCTCACACCTGTAATCCCAGCACTTTGGGAGGCCAAGGCAGGCAGATCACATGAGGTCAGGAGTTTGAGACCAGCCTGGCCAACATGGTGAAACCCTGTCTCTACTGAAAATACAAAAATTAGCTGGGCGTGGTGGTGCATGCCTGCAATCCCAGCTACTTGGGAGGCTGAGGCACAAGAATCACTTGAATCCAGAAGGGGGAGGTTGCAGTGAGCCGAGATCGCACCATTGCACTCCAGTCTCCGTGACAGAGTGAGACCCTGACTCAAAATTGCTGCATATACCTAAACTATCTCTGCAAGGCTATGTAAGAAACTGTTAACCAGGCTGAGAGACAGATGGAAGGAATACTTACTCCTCACTAAACTGTATTCCTTTGTGTATGATTTTTTTTTCCTTTTTGTATGTTTTTGAAATCTAATGCATGAATTATAATCAAAATAACGAGAAAATATTGATAGTTTAAGAAACAAAAGATTGCTAGGTGAGTGGATAGATGGGGGATGCAGCATGGTATTCTGGAAAAGACTGTAACTATTGAAGGCCAGGTCTGCCTACTGTTGCGTGTGTGGCTTTGGATAAATCACCTGTCTTCTCTGAGCCCCAGGCTCCTTCTGTAAAATGAGTCTGAAGGAAGTGAGGTGAGTATTAATACACAGTGACAGCTCTGAAAACCAGTGCATAGTGCCTGCCATAAGTAGTTGGCTAAGGTATGAGCAGTCTGATTGAGATCCAGCTGACAAGCATTTCCTTGGGCCCTGATCTGTGCCAAGCACTGTTTTGGGCAGTGGGGATACAAAACTAAGGCCCAGTTTCTGCCCTGAAAGGGCTCACAGTCTGGCGCAAGAGAGAATAGAGAGAGGCGAACTTCACTATAATGTAGACAGTGGATTCTAGATCCTATGGAAGTAGGTAGAGCCTGCCTGAGGAGTTAGGAAGGTGAAGACTGAGCTGGTCTTGAAGGACAAATTGGAGTTTGTGTAAAGAGAGGAGGAAAGTGTTCCAAGTGGAGGGAGCAGCTTGAGCAAAGGCTATTGGTTCAAAACAGCCTAAGATATTCAGGGAACTGTAAGCACAGCTCATAAGGGTAAGGGTGGCACAGGGGAGGTTGGTACTAAGAGATGGAGGCAGAGGCTAGACCATGGACAGTCTTACAAACCATGCTCAGGAACTACAACTTTATTCAGTAGGTACTGGGGAGCTACAGGAGGATTTTGAAACAGGTACATTCTAAGAAGTTTGTGGTAGGGCATTAAAGGCCCCCTGCTGGGCCCCTAATCTGATTGTGCTCCTTTCTTTGGGATCAGGTGGATATCCAGGCCCTAAACGACCAGGTGGCAGAGCGAAAGCGTCGGGAAGCAGCAGAAAAAAGCAAGGAGGCAGCTTATGGTAAAAGCACAAAGCCAGGGGCCAGACAAGGGTGTAAAGAGCTGGAGTGGGCTGAAGTAGGGCAGTTCTGCCTCTGAGTGTAGCCTGAGGCCCTGGGGTGGTGGGACAAACCAGGTGGATCTTGGGAGCAGAGGCCACGCTAAGTGGACTCTGTCCCTCCTGGGGTATCTTTTCCATATCCTTGCTCACCACCTCCAGGTACCAGCCAGGTGCAGTATGATGTGGTAGTCCAGATGTTAGAGAAGGAAGAGGCAGAACGAACACGTCGGCTGGCCAAGAAAGTCCAGGATTTTCGGGAGCAGAAGCAGCAGCTCAAGATTGGGCGTGAATTTAATCTTTGGGATCCAGACCAAGTCTGGAAGGGGCTTCCGACCTATCTTAGTTACAATAATACCTATCATGGTCCATCCAGCCTGCAGTACTTCTCTGGGGAAGACCTAGACAGGGTCACACACCTGAGAATGCAGCAGATGCAGTTCAGGTATGACTTGGAATGGCAGCAGCAGGAACAACAGCAAGCCAAGGTTGATGAGAATTGTGCAGGTAAGCAACCCAGCCCTCCAGACTTAGAGACCTGAGGCCTAGTGGGGATCTGTCCTAAGCTGAGTACAGCACCCAGGGAACCAGAACTGTGTGGGGAGGTCCAATTATCCAGTTGGTGCTGAAATGTTACGTTGTGCAGACCACAACCTCCCTGACTTCCTTCAGTAATGACAGTGTAGCATTGTTCTTGATTAGCTTGGTGCTCCATTACCTGGAGGCACCATAGTGCAGACAGACCTAATTACAACCCTATTACAGCACTCTGTTGGACCACTTACTATAGTTGTAGCTAATTGTAGCTAATTTGTTTAGGCCAGGTGCAGTGGCTCATTCCTGTAATCCCAGCACTTTGGGAGGCCAAGGTGGGTGGATCACAAGGTCAAGTGATCGAGACCATCCTGGCCCTCATGGTGAAATGCTGTCTCTACTAAAAATACAGTCCCAGCTGTTCGGGAGGCTGAGGCAGGATTATTGCTTGAACCCGGGAGGTGGAGGCTGCAGTGAACTGAGATCACGCCATTGCACTCCAGCCTGGGAGACAGAGCAAGACTCTGTCTCAAAAAAAAAAGTATTTAATATGTCTTCTCCCTAAAATCTCAGCTTACTGAAGATGAACCACCTCTTTCATGTCCACCCATCTCCCAGTTGCATAGTACAGTATCTGTCAGGTCTTAGGAACAGCAAGGAGCTCAGTGTGGCTGGAGCAGAAAAAAATTGTCAGTACCTTTGCTCATGCCATGCCCTTAACCTGAAATGCCCTTTGCTTTTTTAGCCTCTATACAAAATGTATTTCAAGGATCACCTCTTCCTGGAAGCCTTCTTCTCTTCCACCACCAAAAACCCTCCTAATACCCTATACACATCCCTACCATTGCTCTTGCCAGATTTTGGTCTTATTATCTATGCTTGATCTGTGTCCCCAGCTAGACAGGGAGCTCTCTGAGGATAGGATTTAATTCAGTGGTATCCTTAGAACCCAACACATGGCCCTTAGACTGAGATTCAGAGATATGATTTACCGAAAACAACACAGCTCAGAAGCAGCAGAGCGGACATCAGGACCCAGGTCCATTGGAGGCATCTTTTAGTTACGTACTTGAGAAATCCTTGTTGCTGTACCTTGGCTATTCCTAGCCAAGGGATGTGGAAGAAACTACTTCCACATGCCTTGTTCCTTCCACATCCCTACAACTCAGACACTACCCCACTCCTAAACATATGTACACACACAAACACAAAATTTTGCTGAACAAATGGCTGGATAAGTGAAACAGTAATGGAGCAAGCCAGTACCCTGGCCATATTTCTGTGCAGATTCGCTCAGTGACCAGCTGCGCCTCGCCATGGATGCACAGGCCACCCATCTGGCCAGGCTGGAGGAGTCCTGTCGCGTGGCCATGACGTGTGCCATGGCCAACGCCAACAAAGCGCAAGTATGGCCTGGGCCATCCAGTACCCTAGGCCCTCCCCAGCTCCTGAACAAAGTCTGGGGAACCTTAGCCACATTCTTCCTCTTATATCCCCTCTCAAATCGGCACCAGCCCTCGCATCTGAGTACCCCCGCTTCATCGAAGGCCCCTCTTAGGGCACAAGTCACCTCTCCCCACCTCCAGAAGCGAGCTGACTTGAGAATAGAACATTGCCCTCTCATCCTCAGCTTCTCAGTCTAAAGGCTTCCTGAAGGCAGAGAAGTTCCCTGCCCATTCTCCCCAACACATGCATTAGGGTCACTGAAAGGCCATGCAGTATCTGTTCTTTCCTTGAGATGGAAGAGTAGGGCCATGTTCCCCCCTCCCCTGTGACAGAGTTCCCTAAGGTTGGGCACCCAAATGCTTGCATTTCGGGGCTCCCCAAGGCAGCTGCACAGTCTGGGCATCAGCACCATGAGCGTCAATGTGAACAGAAGGCCAATCTTGCGGAGATCAAGAACCAGAGCACAAGTGACCTACTGACTGAGAACCCCCAGGTCGCCCAAAACCGTACAGCTCCCCACCGGGTCCTGCCCTATTGCTGGAAGGGCATGACTCCAGAGCAGCGAGCTGCCATCAGAAAAGAGCAGGAAGTACAACGCTTTGAGAAGGAAGCACAACGTCAGGCTGAAAAAGCATTGGATACTGAATGGAAAAGCCAGACCATGAGCTTGACCCAGGCAATGCTGGAGCTAGAAGAGCAGGAGAGGAAATTGTGTGCTCTGTTTCAGAGGGGTCTAGGCTCCTTCAACCAGCAGCTGGCTCACGAGCAAAAAGCCCAGTGAGTTCTAGGTGGTGATGGTGGAGATAAATACCAAGGGAGGGAGAAGAGGGATGGTGAGGAACCAGGGAGTTCTAGGTGGTGATGGTGGAGATAAATACCAAGGGAGGGAGAAGAGGGATGGTGAGGAACCAGGGAGATAGGGAAAACATGTCAGCTGAGGCCTCTGGACTTCTTTCACAGGCAGGATTACTTGAACTCAGTAATCTACACCAATCAACCTACAGCCCAGTATCACCAACAGTTTAACACCAGTAGCCGCTAAGTTCAGGATGTTTATCTCACCCTTCTCGTCCATCAAGCTCACAAGTAGGAGTCAGAGAAAAATGCTGCATACTCCTACCTTCTAAACTAGTTAATAAACTTCTTCACTCAAAATCATGTCCATGTGTTGTAACAGGACACAAAAAGTGTGAAGGTACTCCCTTTCCCCCTTCTACCCTGGAGCTCTAAGCATCCAACCCTGTCACAGCCTTCACATTTCTTCCCCATGCCAGGCCCCCTAGCACACGAAACTGCCTACAATCTGAGAGAAAAAGAGACTTTATTAGGCACAGAGGGCGACTGATGGGCAGTTACAAAATGGCTACTGGACTTCCTCCCAAGCTGGAGAGTAGTACCCCAGGGGAAGGAAGGGCAGAGGAGTGTGTGTTCTCTCTGCCTTCTCCCTTTAAGGCTGCATACGAATGGCCCCATCCAGCCGGATAACCTCTCCATTGAGGAATGGGTTCTCAATGATGGCCTGTACCAGATGAGCATACTCAGCAGGGTCACCCAGTCGGCTAGGAAAGGGTACTTGGCTGGCCAAGAAGTTGCGTACCTTCTCTGGGAGGGTGATCAGCAGTGGGGTGCCAAACAGACCTAAACAAGATAACCAAATTCAGAGACTCACCCTTGCTTTCATATTTACCTGGTCCTTCCTCACTTTAGCCCTACTTCTTGGTGCTTCCCTGGGGCCCAAAGATAAAAGGCTGCTGTTGCTTAGGTAATGGATCCCACCCAATCCCAGTTGTGACAGAGAGAGGGGATATGTCTACCTGGAGCAATGGTCATCACCCGGATGCCTATGGGAGCCAGATCCCGAGCAATGGGCAGTGTCATGCCCACTATTCCCCCCTTAGAAGCAGAGTATGCAGCTTGTCCAACCTGGAGAAAGAGTAGAGATCACAGGTGGGAGGGCCCCCCAACAAGTCACTGAGGAGGCATACGTCGTGCCCCTGCCCACACACCTGACCCTCGAAGGCAGCCACACTGGCAGTGTTAATGATGACCCCACGTTGGCCTCCCTGGTCTGGTTCATTCTGGCCCATCTCACCAGCCACCAGGCGGATCACATTGAAGGTGCCCATGAGATTCACCTGTAGGACATGTGGAGACATGGTATAGGACCTGAGGCAGAAGATGCTTTTGTTCCCTAAAACCTTTGGGGTCCTTCACAGCCAGATAACTCTTACTCCCATTATCCCTGGAGAACTTACAAGGCCTTACATTAAGAACTCGCTGGAAGTCTTCCAAGGTATGGGCCTGGCTTTTCTTTAAGTTGTATGTCTTGATAGCCACTGCGATGCCTGCACAGTTGACAGCTACATCCACACGGCCAAACTTTTCTTTTGCTACAGCCAGAGCTGTTTGCACATCCTTTTCAGAGGTCACCTTTAAAGGGAGAAGTGGAGAAGGTATTCATCTCCCAGCACGCACACTCCCACTAAACCTGAGGGAGAGCAGGGCAGGGCAGGGCATGCCCTGTCCTTGGTGAGAAGTGAATGAGAACAAGGGAGAGGCCAAGAGAAAAGACTGGTAAAACTTGAGAGAGTAGGCTGGGCACGGTGGCTCACGCCTGTAATCCCAGCATTTTGGGAGGCTGAGGCGGGTGGATCACTTGAGATCAGGAGTTCGAGACCAGCCTGGCCAACGTGGCAAAACCTCATCTTTAGTAAAAATACAAAATTAGCCGGTCATGATGGCACACGCCTGTAATCCCAGCTACTTGGGAGGCTGAGGCAGAAGAATTGCTTGAACCCGGGAGGCAGAGGTTGCACTGAGCCGAGATTGTGCCATTGCACTCCAGCTTGGGCAACAGTGAGACTCTGTCTCAAAAAAAAAAAAACAAAAAACTTAAGTAGGCCAAAGGTGAAAAGGTTACATAATATAGAGCAGAGTTGCAAAACATTTTTCAAATCAATACCCTCTTGATAAGTTCACATGCTCCTGGAGATTCTCAATTGCTATGGATCAGAGCACTAATACAACCCTGTTGTGAGGCCAGGCACAGTGGCTCACACTTGTAATCCCGGCACTTTGGGAGGCTGAGGAGGCAGTCTGATCACCTGAGGTCAGGAGTTTGAGACCAGCCTAGCCAACATGGTGAAACCCCATGTCTTCTAAAAATACAAAAATAAATTAGCTGGGTGTGGTGGCAGGCACCTATAATTCCAGCTGAGGCAGGAAAATCGCTTGAACTCGGAAGGTGGAGGTTGCAGTGAGCTGGGATTGAGCCACTGCACTCCAGCGTGAGCGACAGAGCAAGACTCCATCTCAAAAATAAAAATAAAAAATAACCCTGTTGTTACTATCATTAATAGGAAGATAAACTTTTTTGTATCCCTACCTGCCAAGCTGATTTCATCAAGTTTTACTTTCTGTAGTTTGTTTCATGAAAACAAGTTTTTTGACTTTGTAAACATAAAATTACAGGGCACAATATGCATTTTCAAACTATGCATAAACCCTCCAGGGATTATGTCCAATCCCCATCCCCATTGTTGTGAATCCCAGCTTTAGAGAATCCTTAACACGGGTGGTCCCACAGTGCTTGGGCCAAAAGAGACAAGGAGATGGATCCACCGCCGTCATAGAGGAGGCCCTTATTGGAGAGACCCCCCACAGGTTCCCAGGCCAGTGCTGGTGACCTCATGCACACCCTGGGAGAGGAGAGGTGACCCCACTTACGTCGGCTGGGGCGAAAACGCAGCTGTTTCCTAACTTCTTTGCCTGGGCCTCCCCACCTGAGTTGGGCAGGTCCAGAAGCACAGCAGAGGCTCCCTGCCGCACTAGTCGCTCTGCGGTGGCCAGACCCAGGCCCGAGGCTCCTCCAGTTATTACCGCCACCAGGCCCTGTCAAAAGAGTCAGGGTCAGCTGCACGTTGCCCAGACCACCCCCACGCTGTCACCTGCCTGTTCTCCAGGCTTCTGCGGAGAAGGGGAGAGGAGAGTGGTAGTAATCACCCCTGCAGGTACACCAGGTGTGCTGCTTCGCCTCACCGTTGGGACTCCGAGGGCAGGGGGGATCTGATCCCCAGACAGCCCGTCCCGTGACCCCAGGTATGTATGTATGTGTGTATACATACATATACACACACACAAGCCGTGGAGTGCTGACTTTCATCTCTTGAGCCCAACCGCCACAATGCCAGGCCTACATAAACATGACCCTTTTCTCCAAAACCGATCTCTTTCTCCTAGTTCCACGGCCGCGTTGTCCCGCCTCGTGAAGAAGGGCAAGCAACAGAGGAAAAGAACCTTCTACCTTCACGCTCCGACACACTGCAGCCATCTTTGGGTCCGCCTCTCCACTGAATGGAGGCGCAGGTGCTCCCTGATTGGCCGAGGCGAAGCCGCTGGGCGACGGGGCGGGACGTCTGTCGCGTGAGACGTAGGGGCGTGGCCTGGTACTTTGGTGTCTTGGCTAGAGAGCGAATTCCACCTGCTAAGGTATCCCCAGAGTGTTATTTCAACTGGGGAAAAAGACCAATAGCAGCAGTACAATACCACAACACCCTCGCCCTGCTCTCCAGCAGGCCTTTTGGCAAGTGGCCCGCTCCAAATAGGGGAAGAGGCGTGGATATTGAGAATGGGTGCCTTTCTCCTCTGAAAAAGCCTTCATTCAAGTATGAATGCATTTGCTACTCCTATATGCTAGACTGTGTGCAAGGCACCAGGGATACCCAGCAGAATAATAAAAGATTCATGCCTTCCAGGAGGGCACAGTTCAGTTGAAGAAAGAGAATTACACGCACAGACAAATGGACGGAACCAGATTCTGGGAAACTCAGACAAGGAGATCCAAAGATGAGGAGTCTGAGATAGAGAGAGAGAATCATGTAAAGAGAAACACGTTGAGGCCGAGATAGGAAGAGAGACGCCAGATAGGATCACAGAGCGATGAAAGTGGAGAGCCGCTAAGAGAGATGCTTGGAGACAGACATTCTGAGACAGCTACTGAGAAGCACAAACCTAGAGGCAGAAACATCTTTCATCACTTCAGCCTTTGCTACTCTCCTCTATCTTTTTCTAATTTATTTTAAGTCCAAAAGCCCAGATCACACACTGCAGATTGGACTTCGGCCAGAGACTATTAAGACTCAGGTCTTGGTCACCCTAGAACATCTTTCAGCCAGCTTCCAGAAGCTGCATCATTAGGATCTTGAGCCCAGATATCTAATCTGTCTTCCTTCTATACTTTTCCTCAAACCAAGGTCTTCAGGCCATAAATCTTAGCCTAGTTTCAGCCTCATAACTGCTTTATGTTTTCTCTATCTGAAATATCTCCCCCCTACACCTGCTTTCTTACCCAGGAAGATTCCCCTCCAGGCCTTCTAGTTGTTGACAACCACTACAGTCATAATCACGACACTGTATTTATCAAATGATTTAGCACACTGGACTCAGGATTTTCTTAGCTACATGAAGTGCTTCCAACAATTTACAGCACTCTTCATCTGGCCCAATATGCTCTAGCCACAGTGGCCTCCTTTATGTTCATCTTCTCATCAGCTGCTCCCTCTGCTTGGAGTGCTCTCCCCTGATCTTTGCATGGCTGCCTTTTTTTTTCATTCAGGACTAAGCTTAAACGTCACCTTCCCAGAGGAGTCCTCCCTGAATACTCAAACAGTAGCCACCTAGACACTATGCCAGTGCATATTTGAATTATCTTCAAAGCGCTTGCATGTCCATAATCCATTTTCCAGCCTTGGGGCCAGATGTGCTGTGGAATTCAGAGTTGTTTTCAGTTTGAGAAAGGAAGACATGTACCCTACATTACATAACTCTTTAAAAAAGTTTGTCAAACATAGTTCTTTATATAGTCTATATTATATAACTATTGAGAAAGGCCTGGAGCATATAATAAAACATTAATATTTCTGAAGTGAAAGGTATAAAAATTCACACTAAGTGTGAATAAAGACTATAAATAGTTTCACACTACTTCAGGTCAGGTTTTGTCACCTATTAAGTTTGGGCTCCAAAGTATGAAAAAACAACTTTATGCTTTTCAGAACTTTTGACTTTGCAGAACTGTGCCTACAGGCTTGTGAGCCTGCACGCTCCTCTAACCTGGCCTTGTTTGTGCAGTTCTCCCCCTGCTGGAAGGTAAGGCC